AGCTTTCTTGTTGTATAAAATATCCTGACGGGTAATGGGTTAAATTGATTAAAATATGTTGACACCAAAGGCCCATAACACACGAGTAAAACTTTCTATTGCCGAGACATGACTCAAATAGATTAAACAAGATTAAAATAACAATAATCTTTATTTTAGAAAGTCTCGGTGTTTTATATAAGCTTTTCGTTATCATTCGGCATTTAGAACATACACATTTAGGACTCTATAAAGTGATCATTGGCAATAAGGGGGAAAAGTTATTCAATGGCTGAATCACCTTTTTTTTTAAATTGAAAGAGTTGCTTACCCTGCATACGTTTACTTTATCTCAACTTTGAAGGATTGCTTAAATAGATTTATATTATATAATTTTAAAAAAGCATGAATTGACCAACATACCCTGCTAAACAGTTTGTAATAGCTCAAGATCAACACTCTGGTATTAGTATTAAACACAATTAGCAATACATTACAACGGACATATTATTTATTAATCAGTGTTTATTAATTTAATCAAATTTTTATCACAAAGAACAGGGCGGTCTTATAATCTGAAATTATGCAGAAACACAGAGTATCATTTTAAATCATTATTTATTTAGTTATAAAAATTTGATAGCTAATCTCACATACTAATATGACATAATTTAAATGCTAATTTAAATAACAAAAAAAAAAAAAAAAAAAAAACAACTAAAATACACTTTCTTCCAAGTGACTCGAACCTATGACCGTGAACCCTTGTTTAGAAATTGAGTGAACTATCTCTCTCTCTCTCGCACCATGCTAATGCCGCCCAACCCGAAAACACTCGATATATATAATTTTAAATTATTTTAAAGTCGGTACCCGAGTAAATCAAACATGTGGTTATAAAAACTTGGTTGTGTTTTTTTTTGTCGAACTGTTCTAAAGATTGGATATATTTCATGTTTCAATTTTTTTTTGTAACTAAACAATGTTTAAAATAACAAGCACGATTTTTTTCCTCTTTGACAATGTAAACAAACATGACATAAAACTCAATGTTTTCAAGTTTCCTTGTTGGAACTCTCCTGTGTGATTGACTTGATGTCTGCAATAGTCCAGACTACCAACTATTTTACTTTTATAGAACTTTCATTTTTTTTTTCGCTAAATTTTTCTTGGAGTAGTATTACATTATTATTTTTATCGTTGCTGACAAAAAGGCCAAATTAACAATTGCAGTTAGTTGGCGAAATATTAGACTTCTTAGTTAAAATAAGTAATTAATGTTGATAGGTACATCGGCATGAAATATTGAGAGTTGCATACAGAAGGTGTAAAACACACGAGTTAATGAACTTAATGCACCAACACTACATGTACAAAACTATGACCTCCTGGGAAAACCTTACATTATCTAATACTGTGTTTACACAAGCTAACAGAGCTTTAGCCTTAAAGTCGTGCCCACATTTACATAAGTTATGTCCCGAGATCAGGTAAAATCATGTCATCTGGAGAGTCCAAATGCACTTATTAAAAACCTAGGTAACATAGTGTTGACTTAGTTTAATATTACGCTTTGAATCACATATTCTCGTGTAAGCGGCGTAGTCAGACTTCCGGTGTAAAGAGAGCTAGGGGTTAAAATATATATACATACATACACATATATATATATATTATGTATATATATATATATATATATATATATATATATATATATATATATATATATATATATATATATATATATATATATAGCCTAAGCAAAGGCGACCAATAAATATGACATTAACGGTTGCAACAAATTTCTTAGTAACAGTGACTGTCTCAGGTATTGCTAGTAATAGCCTTACTCAAACTTGGAGAAATTACACAGAAGCATTAACAATATCGCTGTTTGTTTATTGGTTTTAAGAAAAATAAGTTGCGCACTAATCTATGGTTCTATAGTCAATCTCCCATACACACAGCACTCTATGACATGTAACTCTAATGCATAACATGTAGCGTAGCGACCCCCAAAAAATAAAAGCACATTTTTCCCTGTTACTCAAAAAAAGCAAAAAAAAAAAAAAAAAAAAAATTAAAAAATAGGTAGTAGGGTGTTCAAGTTTGTAATTTCTAAAAGGAGAGGTTTTTTTTTTAAACTAGCACCTTCAGTTTACTTTTACAAATGTTAAAAAACAGATAATATGACACTTACCAGTAGATAATCTTATATTATTAGCTCTCCTGTCCTAGCTCTCCTGCCCTAGCTCTCCTGCCCTAGCTCCGCTGCCCTAGCTCCCCTGCCCTAGCTCCCCTGCCATAGCTCTCCTGCCCTAGCTCTCCTGCCCTAGCTCTCCTCTCCTGCCCTAGCTCTCCTGCCCTAGCTCTCCTGCCCTAGCTCTCCTGCCCTAGCTCTCCTGCCCTAGCTCTCCTCTCCTGCCCTAGCTCTCCTGTCCTAGCTCTCCTGTCTTGCTCTCCTGCCCTTGCTCTCCTGCCCTAGCTCTCCTGCCCTAGCTCTCCTCTCCTGCCCTAGCTCCCCTGCCCTACCTCCCCTGCCCTAGCTCTCCTCTCCTGCCCTAGCTCTCCTGCCCTAGCTCTCCTCTCCTGCCTTGCTCTCCTGCCCTAGCTCCCCTGCCCTAGCTCCCCTGCAATAGCTCTCCTGCCCTAGCTCTCCTGCCCTAGCTCTCCTCTCCTGCCCTAGCTCTCCTGCCCTAGCTCTCCTGCCCTAGCTCTCCTCTCCTGCCCTAGCTCTCCTGTCCTAGCTCTCCTGTCTTGCTCTCCTGCCCTAGCTCTCCTGCCCTAGCTCTCCTGCCCTAGCTCTCCTGTCCTAGCTGCCCTGCCCTACCTCCCCTGCCCTAGCTCTCCTCTCCTGCCCTAGCTCTCCTGTCCTAGCTGCCCTGCCCTACCTCCCCTGCCCTAGCTCTCCTCTCCGGCTCTAGCTCTCCTCTCCTGCCTTGCTCTCCTGCCCTAGCTCCCTGCCCTAGCTCCCCTGCCCTAGCTCCCCTGCCCTAGCTCCCCTGCCCTAGCTCTCCTGCCCTAGCTCTCCTGCCCTAGCTCTCCTGCCCTAGCTCTCCTGCCCTAGCTCTCCTGTCCTAGCTCTCCTGCCCTAGCTCTCCTGCCCTAGCTCTCCTGCCCTAGCTCCCCTGCCCTAGCTCTCCTGCCCTAGCTCTCCTGCCCTAGCTCTCCTCTCCTGCCCTAGCTCCCCTGCCCTAGCTCTCCTGCCCTAGCTCTCCTGCCCTAGCTCTCCTGCCCTAGCTCTCCTGCCCTAGCTCTCCTCTCCTGCACTAGCTCTCCTCTCATGCCCTAGCTCTCCTCTCCTGCCCTAGCTCTCCTGCCCTAGCTCTCCTGCCCTAGCTAACCTGCCCTAGCTCTCCTCTCCTGCCCTAGCTCTCCTGCCCTAGCTCCCCTGCCCTACCTCCCCTGCCCTAGCTCTCCTGCCCTAGCTCTCCTCTCCTGCCCTTGCTCTCCTGCCCTAGCTCTCCTGCCCTAGCTCCCCTGCCCTAGCTCTCCTGCCCTAGCTCTCCTGCCCTAGCTCTCCTGCCCTAGCTCTCCTGCCCTAGCTCTCCTGCCCTAGCTCTCCTGCCCTAGCTCTCCTGCCCTAGCTCTCCTGCCCTAGCTCTCCTGCCCTAGCTCTCCTGCCCTAGCTCTCCTGCCCTAGCTCCCCTGCCCTAGCTCTCCTGCCCTAGTTCTCCTGCCCTAGCTCTCCTGCCCTAGCTCTCCTGCCCTAGTTCTCCTGCCCTAGCTCTCCTGCCCTAGCTCTCCTGCCCTAGCTCCCCTGCCCTAGCTCTCCTGCCCTAGCTCTCCTGCCCTAGCTCCCCTGCCCTAGCTCTCCTGCCCTAGTTCTCCTGCCCTAGCTCTCCTGCCCTAGCTCTCCTGCCCTAGCTCCCCTACCCCACTAGGCTACACCCCTGCAACATGATAACCAGATAAAGTTTCCAACTTCCGGTGCCCTTAAAACAAGCTCCAGTAACACCTGACTGACAAAGTCATTATTAACCAGCTGTGACTAGAAAGGTAAGCATCAACATTTTTCTTGAGCTATATCTGTTCAATTTTAAGACAAAGACACTTTATTCTTATGATCAAAACTACAGAAAAACAACTACTAAATACTTGTTTTATTATCACTTTTATTTGTATTATTAACTATTCATACAATGGGGCGGTGTGGTCTAGCGGTAGACAGCACGCTTTCAATAGCCGTCCGTCTGAACTGCCGCTAACTTCCATATAAACTGATGTAATGGTGTTTGCTAGGGGTGAATAGACTGTCCGGTACCATATAAAGAACATATTGAGAGCCGATCTCTTCAGACATTGTAAACATGTTTAACAATTGGATTACACGAACCTACAAAGTCGAATTATCTATTCTTAACATAAGCAGTTTTATATTCTTCCCAGAGAAATGCCATATCGAGACTAATCTGGTTTAATTTGATTGAGAAAAATCATTAAATAAAAAAATGTTTTTTTTTATTATCACTATAATGACATTTTAATATAAAATAAATTATTTATTTCATTTCAATTTTACAGCGGAAGTTGAAGGAGAGAAAAATGTTTGTTCTGGAATTTAATCTTACAAAAACCGAATAGGGACTGATATTTTGAAAGGCTCATGAGATTTGGAGATCAACGTTTTTATTGTAAAAAACTATTGGGATTATAAAGAGTTATTTCCGGATATTATTGAACTTTAGATCTAATAGCAGCGAGATATATGTTTGATTAGTGAACAGTAAAATGCGTTTTTTCTTGATCTATTTATGTGCTGTAAGTTACGGCATCATTCGCAACAAAATTTCGCAATTTTTCGCTTTTTTATATCGGAAAAAGTTGTACATTTTTCTGACTGTTGTAATTCCGTTAGCCTCGATAATTTTATTCTGCCCATCCGGAACTACTTTTTTACACTGCAGAAGGCGTGGCAGGATGTCCCCACCTACAACCTGATAAAGATTCTCTACTTCAGCGACCCGCCCCAACCGTACACCATGGGTCGTGTCGTCTGTGACAGGTGGTACACGTCGAACATGACGGAAGAAGATATCGACCAATCGTTGTTCGCCACGTACCCGCGAGTGAGTACACAAGCAGCCAGGGACAAGGTCATGCTGAAAGGTCACGGGAGTTTTCTCCCCGTGCTGACCCAGGACCTGAAACTTCAAACCTTGTTCATGTACCAGGTGGCGGCTGAGGTTCTAACCCAGGCCGGGATAACATTTTTCCTGTTAGACGGGAACCTGCTGGGGTTGATGCGCCACCGTGGGTTTGTTCCCTGGGACGACGACATCGACATCGCTCTAAGCATCAACGACTGGAGCACCACACAGAAACTCTTCTCCTGTATTCGAGGATTCAACTTCGTCCCTTCAAACAACTTTCACTGGAAACTTTTTTTCCCAGATCGGAAATTCCCGTTCTTGGATATATTTTTCTACGACAACGATTCCAGCTATCTCTGGGCAATGACAGAATATTCACGAGTCACTGTGGTATATCCCACCCACCTCGTCTTCCCCCTGAGCACGTCCATGCTAGAGGGCGTGGCCGTGCCCGTCCCCCGGGACAGCCTGGGTATCGTCAGGAGGATCTACGACTACGTCACGAGCCACGTCTACAATGGGCACGTGCAGACGACCATCCAGATGGTCAAGAAATTCCCACAAGCTTACCGTCTTAGAGAGGTCCCTTGTCAGAACCTCAGCTACATGTACACCATGTATAATCTAGACACGCCCTAGCAACAGCTGTTGTCTAGACATGATGTCCCTTGTCAGAACCTCAGCTACATGTACACCATGTATAATCTAGACACGCCCTAGCAACAGCTGTTGTCTAGACATGATGTCCCTTGTCAGAACCTCAGCTACATGTACACCATGTATAATCTAGACACGACCTAGCAACAGCTGTTGTCTAGACATGATGTATACGTCCAACAATGTCCCATGTACTGGTACACAATGTATCATCTAGGCTGAAGTCTTACGTAACGGTCAGGTGGTCATGTTAGCTAGGGTTGTAGCAGCATGACGTCACACTTTTAGGGAGGGGGCTGGGAGTTTTGTGACGATATTGACAATAAGAGATAGGCTTTCTAAAAGGTTTTTTAAAAAACTCTAAATTCGGATATAAATAAGTAAAGCACCAAGTAATATACTTTATTGGAGCTGTAATATTTAATAGTGTCTTGAGACGAACAATACTCTATTAACAACATGGATTTACACTTATTATTGTACACATTAAATCAACAGGCAAGACGCATTTTATATGCTGTTATTTCGAGTTCTTCTTGGAACAATTTATTAGCAATCGGCAGGGGTTAATAAATGTACTAAGCGTGTTGTAGATCATCTTCTCTAGAATAAATTCATAACTGTTTTCAAATTTAAAATGTTGTGTATTTCTTCTTAGGTTTCAGCTATGACAGCTATGATTCAGCATTTAGATAAAAATAAAAGTGCATTATGTAAAAAAAATGTTATAAAAATCGTAGCATTGGAGAAAAATTATGATAAGATATTACGTTATCAAACGACTCATTGATTGCTTTATTAGACCATCCAACAATTTGAAATTGTTTAGGAAAGGTAGACAAATACTGATTCACAACGATTAATGGGTATTAATTGAGTAGACTCCCCTTTACCGTACAGGATTAGGTTTAAAGATAAGCGAACGACTTGTTCTGTAAAGAAAAAATGTCATGTTCAAGGTAAATTTTCTTGTAAAAAAAGTTGACACCCAACAATATAGTACAGCTATATTTTCCATGCACCCCAGCACTGATTAAGTAATGAGTAAGTTATTCCAATTCCTGTCATTACTGTTATTCCAATTAAATGGACAAACATTTTCTTAGATTAAAGATACACAATGTTAAACTTTCCATTGGGAAAATTCAAAACAAGCATTAGCTAGGCCTTACCCTTGTTTGCCCAATTTAAATGTTTTCAAGTTGTGATTTAGCCTGCAAGAAGAAGAAAATAAAACTCGGTATTTAGTACAATTGTTCTCATTCTTTTAGAGGATCTTAATAAAAATCATAATTTTCTATTGATATGATCTTTTTTACGTTTTCTTCTATCGTTAGTGATCCGATTTTTCTGTTTGCATTATTTATTTTCTTGCAGTTGCAGTGTTAGACCTTTAGGTCGTTCTCACAGTAACTGACTGGACGTAAACACAAGGGACACCACTAAAAATAAAAAATACAAGGGACGTAACTGTAACTAACAAGACATTACGTAACACAAATAACATTCCTATTTAAAAAATCAAGTAAAAATAAGATTTATCGACCACCACACGCAGTAGCCTATAGTTGTATCGTAAACAGTTTACATGTATTTAAACACAATATAACAAGCCATGTAATAGTTTACTAATTATAATTACATTATTTACTATCCATCTTTAAAAACACAAACATTATATGGCCTTAAGGGGGGGGGGATAGCATATCTCCATAAATACGAGACGATTATGAAAGGTTAACCTTTCCTTGACTTAAAATGTACTTCAAAGTTTAATATAAATCGTCTCTGTCATCCGTCTCTACTGAAATAAATTACAACCTGTTAGAACCGCCGTTTGTAGTTAAGCTGTTACATTTTTTGTCTATTGACCCTGCGTGTTACAATTAATGTGAACCAATGCCTGGTCATGTGACTGAGGCATTTTCGAAACCGACTGTCTCGGGTGTTCATTGAAGCATGACATGACTTCCCACACACAAATGACATCCTGTTCTCGGGCTGTATAGACGAAACCAGTGACAATGCGTTCGTTACGTCAAATTGCTAGAGGCGCTCAACGAAACAGGGAAGAAATGAAAGAACGAAATATCTGAACAAAAATAACGGCATGTGTTTGAACTAGGATTTCATTATATTAAATTTATTTTTAACTAATGGCGTATTTTGAATATTTACTGCGTTGATCGGACTTGAAGTTTTGATCGGAATTGATATTACACTTTTTTATGTTTTAATTTTTTTATAAATACACTATGATAATTAAAGTTTTATTGCAGTTATATACAAACTTTAGGCTCATTCTTCTAAAACTCCCAGAATTAGAATTGGAAACAAATATTCAATTACAAAAAAATTGTACAGTGTGTAGTATGGTTTCTGAAAAAAAAAGAATTTAAAGCAGCTTAATCTTGTTAAATTGTAGCTAAATATAATTTAGAAATAAACTTTAGTGTGTTTATGTTACGAAAGTGAGCGACAAATACGAAAATAGCTGTGATGTGGACAAGCTGACCATTATAGTCTCACATCCTCATGGCTGTTCTAAGCAGGTGTCTATAGGTCACTGGGTGGACAGGCAGGTGGTTGGGAGGGAAGGAGCGACCAGGTACACGTACACAACGTGTACCTGTCCAGGTAGCAGCGGGGCTGTGGTCTACAGATTGGGGTGTCACTGGACCAGGTACACGTACACAACGTGTACCTGTCCAGGTAGCAGCGGGGCTGTGGTCTACAGACTGGGGTGTCACTGGCCCCAACATCCACATTGTGGAACCAACTCTAAAGGATTAAATTACATGGATGATTAATTGTTTGCAAACATTGAGTCTAAGTATTGTTATATCTAAACATTGATACTAATCTTGTAATCAGATAAAGTAAATACATTATTTTTGAGTTGCTGTTAATATTAGCATATTTTCTGCTCTGTCTGTTCAATGTTAGGTCTATTTCTTGTACCAAGTGTTTTCGAATTGAGAAAAATCATGTGTAATCTTAATAAGTGTTCTACTATAACAGGGGTCTCCAAACTTTTCAGTCCGAGGGCCACATTAACCATTTAATTTTAATTCGGGGGCCAGTTTCTTCCAGGTATGTCTTTGATTTTTCTGGGTATAGTTCCTCAGCCATCACCAACAAGAATTTTTTTCCGTGGACAAAAAGATCTCCGCGGACCGGATGAGAGGACATCGCATGCGGCCCGCGGGCCGTAGTTTGGAGACCCCTGTACTATAATATACAGATCTACTGAAAATTTTCTTTTTTAGTGTGTATATGTATCTTTATTTCGTTTTAATATGTATATATTTATTATACCCCTGCCTCAAATGAGTTCTCCAAGGAGTGATGCGGAAGGGTTGGCTCTGTATGGCTACATTTCAATATTGTGTTATGTTTTTGTAATTCAAGGTATGTTCTAAACAAGAAAAATAAACCCGGAGTGATCTCCCATAAACTTTCTTAGATATTCTTATATAACACTACGGGGGAAGGCAATTAGGGATATAGACAATATTTTAAATCTATTTTTAATTACATAAACTTTTTAAAATAGAATAGAATCTCTAACAAAAAAAGAATTGCGCACCAAGTAAACGCCAAACAATATATGTATAGTAGTACGGAATATTATTTAAAAATTATAAATTTACATGTGTTTTTTTTTGAGAAATTGTAAAAAGCGTAGATTACTACTTCCGGTCATCGGAAATTACTCAAAATTTGATAGAAGGCAGATAATTAGATATGTTACTTAAATTTGAAATTACGTTTATCTATCTACAACAGTACTCAAGTTATAGGCTTTTGAAAAATTTAAAGTAGAATAAGTTCAATTTCTGCTTACTGGAAATCTCTGAAAAGTTGACACAGAACTACAAATTTAATATAATACTTATATATGAAATTTGATCAACCTAGCTGTAACGGCACTCAAGTTATCGTGTCCACAGACACACATACACACATATACTTATACACACACATAAACATACGGATAAGATTGCAAAACAATGTTTTTCCGACTTAGGGAGGTGTAAAACGTCGAGGTTCGGAAAAATCTCGATTTAATTTTTTTGCACGATTACAATACTTTCTCTATAGGTCTACTTCGTATAAGAGAAAGAAAAAACGTGGGGGGGGGGGGGGGCGGTCGAAACATTTGAAATCAAATGCTTACCTTATTAACCTATTTCATGTATGGACTTCCGCTAAATGTTAACAAAACAATGGACAGGCTTAACTAATTTAGGGCTTGAAATATGTTTTTAGCAATACAGTGATACTACAGGTTGCACATATTTATCAATTTCTTCCGGGGATTTTGAGTTTCCATTATAACCTGTAATATTTTAGGTAATAATTGTTGCTACACAACGAACTGCATTATTAGGTAACATTTAACGAACGTCAAACACATATTAGCTGAAAGATAAGTGCTGAGTTAGATATTATGTTTGACACTGAAAACAAATCCACAGCTACCGTGGTTTTCTTCTAACATATCATGATTGTTTTGTTCTGTTTCGGGCGGTTAATCATCTAGTAGGACAGTTAAAAAGTAGTTCTTATCACTTGATACTGTCTCATATATTCATATATAACAGCAGGAGTTATATCGGATTTGTAGGTCAGTTTGTGATCATTATATTGTCCAAACTATTATATAGTTTTTAATAAAATATTACTTTAAAAAGTAAAAATATATCTAAGTATGTTGAAATATATAAATCTATTCTCCCTGAAGATCGACCAATGTTCTAATTTAGAAAATAATTTGTATAAAATAAATTGCTTGTAAAATTGAAGGAAACAGAAACACAATAAGTTGAGATCCAAAGTCACTATTTATTCCATATTAAAAAATTATGACCGATTCATTTCTCCATTCTATTTCAATTCCTACTTATACAGTTTGAATAGTCGATATCTACGTGTCATGAGCAGTGGCGGAACTAGAAATCAAAGGCTCCCCCGCAAAGAAAAAAACTAGGGCCCCCTATATATATATATATATATATATATATATATATATATATATATATATATATATATATATATATATATATATATGTTTTTTTTGGTCGGAACTGGGCCCCTAAACGTCATGGGCCCCCCCGCATTGCGGGGTCTGGCGGTATGGTAGTACCGCCCCTGGTCATGAGACATGCCAGATATCAAATTTAATATTTGCAGGGAGAAGGGTGTAAAACTTGATCTCCTTGAATTAAACATTATGCTAAAAATAGAAACGTGCACTGATTGTGTTGTGATTTTAAGGTGTTTAAAAGGTTCAAGTTACTGTGTGGTTAAAATGGTGCTAGGTTTACATCGGCAACTAATAGAGACGTACGTCGTAGGTGTGGCCTAAAAGACTGTCAGAAAGTAGAAGAAAATTGTAAAAGCACAATAATTTAAGAACAAAACATTCAAGTGAAAAAGCCACGATAGTAATTAACTAATTAAAGAAATACAAAAAATTAATTATTCTTGGAACGACTAATCTGGCATTTACACATTCATTTAATGTTTAAAATTATTTCTCTAAGCGTCCGATCTATTCAGAAATTACACGTTCATCAACATTACTCATTAACAAAAATCTTAATTGTAATTTCAACGTGAGCTTCTGATCACGTGGTATCACATGATAAGTCACATGCCAGTGTTTCTTCCAGACTTTCTTTCTCCTGGGGGGGGGGGTCACTTGAAATTTTCAGGGGGTGGATTAAAATTTCCGGGGGGGGGGGGGGGGGGCAGTCACTGCTGTTAAAGTATATATTTTCTATATAAATTCCGTTTCGTAGGAGGGGGGCGGTAGAATTTCTTCGGGGGGGGGGGGGGGGGGGTGGGGGCTAGAAGAAACTCTGATTCGGTATAAATAGAGCGTGACTTCTTCAGGAAGTTTTAACATAGGGCGAACATTGCTGTGTACACGGCCCACATTTAACTGTACACCAAGTATAGTAAGAGCTCTAATAAAGGTCAGTCTACTACATATTAACCAGCAATTAAAAAAAAACTTTTAGATAGTCTAAAATATAATAGTTTTTAAACTGATTATATATATATATATATATATATATATATATATATATATATATATATATATATATATATATATATATATATATATATATATATATATATATATATACTAGCGTACCCGTCACCGCGCGTTGCCGGGGGCCTAGAAGAAGGGTTTCATCCATACGTTACCAATCCTATATTCTTAGACGCGTAACCTTGTTTTATAAAAGTGAGATATTTAAATGTAAACAATGCCTGCGCTCGGATCATAAATATCGGCACACGTGTTTACCTACGCTACCGCATGAAAACCTTGCGTGTACATTAATCTCTCACCGAAATAATCAGGTAGAACACACTTCGGTGACCACCCATGTGTCAGGGACGTAGAGGGGCACTCTCAAGAGCACACCCCCCCCCCCTCGAATACACTACCGCATAGGCGCCACGTACGGCCCCTGGCTCCTTAAAACTAACAGGCGCCATCGTGCCAAATAGCATCCTGTTAACAATGAAGCAGAATTCGTCATTCGCAAAAGTGACACAAATTAACAGGATTATTTTCTTTAGCACGTAAAAAACTATTTGCAGAACCATACCAGGTAGTGTTCTAATCAACAAGTCTCATGGCTATCGGATGAAATGTTTTGTTTAAAGAACCCTTTCCTGGAGTGTTCTAAGGGACTCACCAATGTCTCATGGCTATCGGAAGAACGGTGTCAAACCAAAATCGACTTTTATTTTTATATACTGTACATAGAGAAAAATCGCACCCGCCCGTGGCGCCGCCCTTGCGAAATTATGTATGATTTTTACAGAACCCTTCCCCCAGAGTGTTATAATGAACTCACCAAAGTTTGATGAACGGTGTCATTGCAATTTACTTTTATTATTTTTATATACCGTATATAGATAAAAATCGCACCCTCCCGTGGCGCCGCCTTTGCGAAATTAAAAATGATTTTTTTACAGAACACTTTGCTAGAGTGTTCTAATCAACTCCCCAAAGTTTGACGGCGATTGGATGAACAGTGTGAATCTGCAATGGACTCTTATTTTTTTATATACCGTATATAGAGAGAAAATAAATCGCGCCCTACCGGGGCGCCACCCCTGCGAATTTGAATTTTTTTTTTCCGCAAAAACCTCCCCAGGTATATTCTTAACAACTTCCCAAAGTTCGACGGCGATGTGATAAGAGGTGTGGTAATGCATAAAAGACACACACACACCCACATACATTGCTTTATATATATATATATATATATATATATATATATATATATATATATATATATATATATATATATATATATATATATATATATAAAGCTCAATTCTGCATGTAAAAATACATATGTTTGTCGTTGACATACTTCGATGGATTTAAGTGTTAGATAACTAAAGTCCTTATGGTCTAAATTTATGAGTTAAAAAATTAATATTGAAAGTTTTGGGAAATAATTTTCATTTATCAAACTGAAAGTAATAATTTTCGGCATGTTCATTAAACACAAAAATTCTAATTATGTCTTTATTTAGTCCTTAGCACTTACTTGCCTTTGATAAATTAGGAAAACACAATTACTTCCCTTTATAAAAGCATTGCATTAGTGGAAAAGAATTTACTTTTTATTACTTTGTTTTGGTGTTGGGAAAAAAATAATTACATAATTAGCGGGGATTGATCAAGTGCAAATGTGGTATTTTACGGATAAGCTTGGGGTATTATAATTGTTCATTAAATTGAAACAGGCGCGTTCGTTTAAGTGAGTGCAAAAGACAATGAATAAGTTGGGGTACTATAGTCGTTCATTAAGCTAAAACAGGTGATTCCGCCCCGGGCGTTTATGTTCGCGTTAGTGTTTTCTTTGTGTTTAGGTGGGTTTGCGTTAGTGGTTGCGTTTTCATTTGGTTCGTTTTTGTTCTTTCTTTTTTCGTTTTTGTTTGTGTTTTTTTTTGGGTTTGTATTTGTGTTTTTGGTTGGTTTTGAGTTTGGATTTGGTTTGTTTTCGTTTGCTTTTTCGTTGTTTTTTTGTGTTGGTAATTGTGTTTGTGGTTGTGGTTGGGTTTGTTGTTAGGTTTTTGTTTTCGTTTGCTTTTTTGTTTGTTTTTACTTTGTGTTTGTATTGGTGTTTGTGGTTGTGGTTGGGTTTGTTGTTAGGTTTTTGTTTTCGTTTGTATTTGTAATTGTGTTAGCGTTATGTTTGCGTTTTGTTGTTTTGGTTTTGGTTGGTTGTGGTTCGGGTGGGCAATGCCGGGTTTATGATGATTATTAAACACACAGGTAATGGTCTTTAACAGGAAGGTTTTTCACAGAAGCCAGAGCAGGGCCTGGCCGGGATATATATGTATATATATATATATATATATATATATATATATATATATATATATATATATATATATATATATATATATATATATTATAATTTAACTCATTTAACTATTTATTAATACGAAATAAAGAGAATTCAGCTTAAGGTTTTAGACTTAGTCTCCGCCTTGCCTTTCAGATTTTAACAATGTTTACTCATGTTAGACACATGCACATTTATAAGGTTTCTTTAGACGACTCGGGATCAGTGGCGTAGGCAGGGGGGTTAGGGGGGTCAAACCCCCCCCCATAGACCACTCGGTATATAGAAAAAGTAGGAGGGGGGTGCAAATCGAAAGTTTGAGGGGGGGGGGGGTGTAAATCGAAAGTTTGAGGGGGGAGGGTGCAAAACGAAAGTTTGAGGGGGGGGGGGGGGATGCAAATCGAAAGTTTGTCCACGGGTAAAAATTGGACCCCCCCCCCCCTCCCTTGAGACGATCCTGGCTATGCCACTGCTCGGGATCCCTTGGAAAACGGTCTGTCCGCTGCACTGAATAACACAAACCAATGTCCCATGACGCCTATGTCATACTTTATAACGAATCCGTGTTTTTAGTGAGTCGTTATTGCAGATATTTAGCTTGAAATTGTAAAAAAAATTTTATGGAAAAGACGTTGTATTGTATTACCCAGAAGTGAATTGGTTTCCCCAACCCTCCTTTTTTCCTTTTTTTCATTGGCTGCTAAAAATACTACATGACTCAAATTGTGCTTTTGAAAAAGTATTTTTAGATTAAATGAAATGTGCTTGTTATTTTCAAAATGTAAAAAAAAAACAACCCATTTGCTATCTGAAAAACAATTGGTAAGGTTGTTTAACGGAACTTTACATAATTTACCATTTTTTAATATATTTTAAAAACTTCAATTATAATATGAAGTTTACTTGAATTGCGTACAATTATATTATTAGCTACAGTGAAGGCGTAGTGATGTTAAAACAAGAACTAATATTATAAGACCTAAAAATATTTTTTTCTAGACATACTTAAATCTGTTCGTGTTAGTTACATATATAACAATTCTGCATTCGATATGGAAAATCAATTTTAGCGCTCATTATTACTACTCTGCATTTGACGTTCATAAATAAACACACACACACACACACACACACACACACACACACACATATATATATATATATATATATATATATATATATATATATATATATATATATATATATATATATATATATATATATATATACAGGGGTCATCAATAAATGACGTCACACTTTTTAAAACGATTTTTACCTCCCCCCTCCCCCTCCTCTCCGTCACACATCGTCACAAAAAACCAGACCCCCCTAAAATTACGTCACACTTCAGACTAACCCCACCCCCCACCCCCCTCAAAATGTCAGTTGAATTTTTCTTAAAACATTGATATTTTTCCAAAATCTAGTCAGAACTATGTCAACATAGAGTCTTTTGATTAATTCCTATTACAATTTATTAAAACTATTTTGTAAAACGCGAAATAACTGCCAAAACTCGTTTTCGGACATTGTTTTTTTATAATGCAAAAGTGTGACGCCACACTATCTGAACCCTTCCCCCCACTCCCCCCCCCCCCACATGTCTGACGTCATTTATGGACGACCTCATATATTAGTATATATATATATATATATATATATATATATATATATATATATATATATATATATATATGTATTTTTATATACAGTATTTGTGTATTTGCTAGGGTAATTTTAATTTAATTTGTTACCTCGGTATAATATAAATATATCTATCACTGAAGATTGTTGCATGGACACTAAACGAAAACCTAGACTCAGTGATGGCAACATAAGGTATACTCCACACAATAGTTTTCGCTAATTAAAATCTTCTGTAACACCCATTATAACTAACCCAAACTCAAGCATTATGAGTATCAACAACAGAACTTTTTGCCCATTCAAGTTAAGTTAGCAATTTTTTTTTTACCGCAAACCATATCTAAACTCAAATAACGCTTCAAATACGAAATAAATTTTAAAAAACTTCAATCACCATAAATATTTTGTGAATTATACGCACACAATTAATGCGTTCTAACCTAACCTAACCTAACCTAACCTAACCTAACCTAACCTAACCTAACCTAACCTAACCTAACCTAACCTAACCTAACCTAACCTAACCTAACCTAACCTAACCTAACCTAACCTAACCTAACCTAACCTAACCTAACCTAACCTAACCTAACCTAACCTAACCAAACCTTACCTAACCTAACCTAACCTAACCTAACCTAACCTAACCTAACCTAACCTAACCTAACCTAACCTAACCTAACCTAACCTAACCTAACCTAACCTGACCTAACCTGACCTAACCTGACCTAACCTGACCTAACCTGACCTAATCTGACCTAACCTGACCTGACCTGACCTGATCTGACCTGACCTGACCTGATCTGACCTGACCTGACCTGACCTAACCTAACCTGACCTAACCTAACCTAACCTAACCTAACCTAACCTAACCTAACCTAACCTAACCTAACCTAACCTAACCTAACCTAACCTAACCTAACCTAACCTAACCTAACCTAACCTAACCTAACCTAACCTAACCTAACCTAACCTAACCTAACCTAACCTAACCTAACCTAACCTAACCTAACCTAACCTAACCTAACCTAACCTAACCTAACCTAACCTAACCTAACCTAACCTAACCTAACCTAACCTGACCTGACCTGACCTGACCTGACCTGACCTGACCTGACCTGACCTGACCTGACCTGACCTGACCTGACCTGACCTGACCTGACCTGACCTGACCTGACCTTATATTAATATTCACGTAAAAGTACTCGTACAGTATGCCTAAAGGTACTTGTACTAGTAATATTAAAAAATAAATAAAGTGTGATTGATCTCCCTCACACGTTCTAGAATATTCTTATATAAAACTATGGGTGATAGTAACTCGAAATATAGACATGATTTTTTTACCCATTTTTAATTACTAACACTTTTTAAAATATAATAGAATCTCGTGTAAAAAAAGAATTACATTCATAAGAACGGCAAACAATATTTGTATAAATGTGCGGAATATTAGTACTGTATAAATTAATATGCGTTTTTTTTAAAGTCGGAAATAGCATCAATAACTACTTCCTTTCAACGGAAATTACTCGAAATTTATAAGAAGGCATAGAATAAGATCTTTTAATATTCTGTTATATTCGTTTATCGAAACAGTACTTAAGTTATAGGCTTTCGAAAATAAAAGTAGAATAAGTTCCACTTCCGGTTATCGGAAATCGCCGAAAATTTGATACAGAACTACACATTTGATATAATACTTATATATGAAAATTTATTAACCTAGCTGAAACGGTACTCAAGTTATCGTGTTCACATACAAATACACACATACACATACACACATACATACGGACGAAATTGCAAAAATATGTTTTTCCGAATTAGGAGAAGGGGGGGGGGTGTTAAACGTCAAGATTTGTGAAAATCTCAATTTCGAATTTTGCACGACTCCAAAATTTTCGCTATACTTCATATACGAGAAATTAAAATGAATGCTTCTTCATCCATGTAATTCTGACATGTTTAATCTATATCTGGCTATACGTTTTTATCCCCTACTTTCTTAGATTGTGTTCGTCTCTTATTTCGCTTATTGTGACAACTGTTGTCTTGGTCTACACTATCGTTCGTTTTGGAAAGGTAGGCTACATTTTCTTTTGTAACAGTAACTCTTAAATATAGAATAATATTTTTTTTACATTTATCGTCATGTCGCTTAATATTCTCAGCTCCCGTTACCGACATCACAAGATCTGTTGTTGATTTCCAGCAATCAATCAAAACTTGAGCATGACACAAGTAAGACACATTTCAAAATATCAGTACTAATTAAAATGTAAATTTTATATTTTCTTAGTCGTTTAGGTGAGCAGTTTTTCTATCTCTAATGTTGATCTACTCGTTATTAACGAAGATTAATTTAACAATGTTATTGGCCAATTTAACAATGTTTAAGTATAACTTATGTTTCTTATATTACTTAACAAATAATACCATCCACAGAAATAATAAGACACATCATCAGATAATTCAAAATTTTTTGCCTTGTTAATGCTTATTGAGTCTCACGAATGACGAAATGGCATACAGCTTAGCGACTATTTATATAAAGATAAATAAATAAATAAATAAATAAATAAATATATATATATATATATATATATATATATATATATATATATATATATATATATATATATATATATATATATATATATATATACTATAACTACATATATACTCTTGCCAGGGACCTGCTCGAGATATATACTTATATGCGTGTGTGTAATACATTTTGTAACCCTATAAAATTGTCATTCAATAGTAAAATGTTTGAATAATATTTGTATAACTATAAAGCATCAAGTCCCACCAAGCTAAAGTTTCCTGTATCTGCCCATGCTCGTCTCTTTCCTTCCGTCAGATATCCTGGCACTGAAAACAGTGAAGGTGACTAAATAAAATTCTTATATAAACATTTTCTTAATACAAAATTTCGTAACAGATACTGAGTATTAAATGTATTACAATAATTTTTAGACGCTATATGATGTACACAATGTTGAGGTAAAATGATACTATTATAGATTTTAATTATTTGTTACAAACTGTATAATTTTTAATAAACTGCAACAGACCCCATCTTTAACCCAACAAGCCACTCTATCCTTGAGTTAAACGAACAAGCAACAGACAACATCCACCAACACGCTACAGGCGTCAACATCACACGGGAGGGGATCAAGATTATAATAGCAGGTGTGTGATGTGATTTATCTGGTTTGTGTTTGTATTAAAGATTAACGTAAAAAAAAACTTTGAACATATTTTGTATTTCTTTGTGTAGGGGTGTACTACATCTACAGTAACGTTAACTTTAAACCTAACTCCACCCGTTATTCTGCAGACTTTCATTATCAGGTAAGTCTTTGTAATAGAATTTTGTGCGTGGCCTTACTTTCTTTAATTTGTATAGGATAACATGTCTCTACATACAAAACTATATGTTAAAAACACAATAACTATTATGTGAACACCATTTTGTGATGTATGAACATCTGTTTGAAACGAAAATGTATTATTTTTTATTATACATTTTTAACTTAATTTGTTCCCCAGACGTGGTTCCAGTACATCAGCAGACGATCAGCCACCAGCCCAGTTTTATCTGGCGTCTTATTGAGAACTGTTCACACCTGTTGTAGTAATTGTACAGGTAGTCAGGAGACGGCATACACAGGTGAGATCTGTTTTCTCTGCATCTTTAGATAGGTGTGTAGCTGGCATTCTACTACGATAGAGGAAAATGCATGAATTGTGTTCAATATTTAACCGCTAGACGTAAATAAACAACACATAAACTGAGTTAAAGCTAGTTAAAATATACTCAATGTTAAATGCTTTCCCACCATAAACAGTACTAGGTGATTCAATAGGTTCCTTTGGCTACAACCAATGATGTATTTATGATGAAACAACGAAGCTTGACAATAGAAATACTTTGAATCTCAGGTGGTGTGTTTTACCTGCAGGCAGGGGACGTTATCCAAATTAGTGTCTCGGGTCAAGGTCTCCTCGACTTTGGAAATGAAATGACCTGCCTCGGCCTTTATTTGTTGCATTGTTGAATACCGTTTTTAGGTAGGTTTTGACGACAGCATGTCTTGATTTGTATATCTCTCGTCATATGTTATGCTACATGACAAAAAGTCAACTTTTTACTGTTGAGCCACAACGGTAAAGTTTGTTGGTAAAAGTACCAGGAATTATATATATATATATATATATATATATTTATATATATATATATATATATATATATAACCTGACGAATGTTATAACTCATTGCTATCAAGCTTTAACTGACGTTAGCTTGCTATGGTTATGTGAATAGACCAACGTCACTTTTCTTTAACATTTGTATTAATCGTTTCATTACGTCCGTGTTGCGTGCTTGACATTAAATTGAAAGAAGGAAATAAATTGCATCTAAAGTTTCTGTAGTATTATTACACGGAAGGGAGCCGCTATACTGGGTTCCTATTCAATATTCGCCATAGGGGAATTCTTTAGGGTTTTAGATCAAATAGTATGGTCCAATGGTTTCGCGGGCCAGATGAAAAGGTTTTATTTGTAAAGGCCATAGAAACACTTAAATGTCAACTTTTATTACAGTCTAAGTATGAGTCACTTATGCTATAGAAATTACTGGGCGTTAACTTTTTAAGTAAGAAATTTAGCCTAGTTGAATTTATATATGCGAATGATTTGTTGACATTAAAGGGTGTACTGCATCAAAAAAAGCAAATATGTATATATGAGGTGTTCTTGAAAACGTAAGATTTAAATTTGAAATGCAAATGTTTATGGCATATTCTTTCAAGTGATCTGCATTTTTAAATTCTGAAATGTCTACACTTTTGCCAAGTGTCTGTCTAAATCCTAATACCATGGCATTGAACTTCAGTTGTTTTATAATCTGACAGAAGAAATATTGAGCTAACACGTTTAGAGAGACTGATATGAAAACAATGTCAGCAGCTGTTGATACGATGACAACTAAATTAGCCAGTGACAACCTATCAAGGCAGTTTTCAGGTAACTATGTTGTAAAACAGGAAAGTCTCGGGTTCGGATTCCGAGCTCTGGTCTGTAAGTCGCACCTGAGTCCACCCAGCTCTAATGGGTACCGGACTCAACATAGACGACCAGACATAATGATGAACACACTATCTCTTCTGTGGTCATTTAAACATATTAACTCTACTTCACCTGTCTCATGTGTTTTGTGCACGAATGGGAACAGAAGAAGATGATGTAGTAAAACAAACATTCTAGCATATCACCACGTAATAGCTGATTGGTTTCCATAATTTGAAAGACTGTGTGAGCAAACGTCAAACAAAAGGACGGGTTTACATACAATAATGATATTTACCTGTACAGGTACATACAATAATGATATTTACCTGTACAGGTACATACAATAATGATATTTACCTATACAGGTACATACAATAATGATATTTACCTATACAGGTACATACAATAATGATATTTACCTATACAGGTACATACAATAATGATATTTACCTATACAGGTACATACAATAATGATATTTACCTATACAGGTACATACAATAATGATATTTACCTATACAGGTACATACAATAATATTTACCTATACAGGTACATACAATAATGATATTTACCTATACAGGTGCACATGAAGTACAAGAATGTTTTCAAGGTCAAGGAGAAGCAGATTTACACACACATCTACGTAACTGTACGAAAAACCCTGACCACTTACAGTTTATACCTGTAAATGAGTTAACTATCGACAATTTTCCGACTGGCTGCCATGACAACGACCTGTATAACTTTACCAAAGCTCAGGCTGACCTAACAGTCAGAATAGCCGTTAAGTTCACCAGTCCAGACAGACCAGAGTTTGTACCAGGCACTAAAGATCCATATCCTTGCTACAACACCAGGGGACAGAACTCACTGAGGACAGGGACGGGGAAAGTGGAGCGTTTTGTAAAGTGTACAGGAACATGTCCATGTCCTGAATGTGAAGTTTTCCTCACACCCAGCCAAGTGTGGTGGAAGATTGGTGTACTGACAGCCAGACATGTGTTGTTTGATGAGAGTGAGGTGAGACAGTCCAGCTGTAGGTTGTGGTTTGATGAGGAGAACTGCCCAGTGGTCAAGATTTATGGGTTACAAGCTGGGGCTCTGTCAGACTTAGAAGAAGACTGGTGTAGGTTTAATTGTGTAACAGATGACGCTGAGACAGCCAATAAACTGGGGGAGATGATCGAGCGGTTTAATCTTCTAGGAGAAATGTTAAAGGACACCTACAAGAACCGTAGTAATGTGGACAAGCTGACCATTATAGTGTCACATCCTCATGGATGTTCTAAGCAGGTCTCTGTAGGTCACTGGGTACACAGACGTGAACCAGGGGGACACGACACATGTTACACGTACACAACCTGCACCTGCCCAGGTAGCAGCGGGGCTCTGGTCTACAGGCTGGGGTGTGATATATCTTCCAGCCATCTTCACTGTGGTGCCAACGCTGGAGGCAGCAGTTACAGTGGCGTGGAATGGGAGTTCGGCCTCTAGTTGATCGTACCTCTCTAGAATGTTCTACCATCTACACTATAATCTTGTTCCCACTCTAGAATGTTCTACCATCTACACTATCATGCTGTTCCCTCTCTAGAATGTTCTACCATCTACATTATCATCTCGTACCTCTCTAGAATGTTCTACCATCTACACTATAATCTTGTTCCCACTCTAGAATGTTCTACCATCTACACTATCATGCTGTTCCCTCTCTAGAATGTTCTACCATCTACATTATCATCTCGTACCTCTCTAGAATGTTCTACCATCTACACTATAATCTTGTTCCCACTCTAGAATGTTCTACCATCTACACTATCATGCTGTTCCCTCTCTAGAATGTTCTACCATCTACACTATCATCTTGTTCCCTCTCGAGAATGTTCTACCATCTACACTATAATCTTGTTCCCTCTCGAGAATGTTCTACCATCTACACTATCATCTTGTTCCCTCTCGAGAATGTTCCTAGTATCTAGATTATCATCTCATACAAAATCGTCATTGAGAAATCATCTCATCTACACGACAAAGTCAACTGTGTTACATCACTAAAATAAATGTACCGATCCTTGCGAAAACAAGTCAAGTGAATGATATAAACCTGCATTATGACAAAAACGTGTTGCTATTTGTATATAAGAAATGTTTCTACATGTATTTGTTTGTTTATGTGTCAACGAAAAACATTTAAATCTTTTTAACATAGTACAGTCTTTATTGAAACATATTACAATTTTTATTGGAAATATAGTTTTTAAATGAAACTTTAGCTATAAACTTGACAATGGTTTTTAGTCATGTAACTATTGTAAATAAAACGTGTAAAGTACTGAAAAAAAAATTCATAAAAAAAAAACTTTTTAATAACAAGCTTTTATGTAATAATGCACTAAAAAGTAGAAAATAACTTACACAATACTATTTAAATCATTGGAAATATAGTTTTTAAAAAAAAACTATGCCGTTCACTTGGTGCGCAAATCTTTATTGCTACGAGATACTATTTTATTTTTTAAAGTTTAAGTAATCAAAAGTGATTAAAAACCATGTCTATATCCAGAATTGCCATCCCCGTAGTCTTATATAAGATTATTCAAGAAATTTTAGGGGAGATCACTCCCGCTTTAATTAGTAATGTTTTCTTGATGTAATGAAATTATAAAGAAGCTAAAAACCTGCCATTTAAGTTCCAACACGGTATGCTCTTAACACTTATATCCATGTTTAAAACTAAATTAACAAAGACCGTTTTTTCAGTTAGCCTTTAATTGCCAGCAGCTTGTTGTTAAATATACATTACACCAATCCAGAGGCGTAGCGATCCTTCCCGGCGCCCGGCGACAAACTTTCGATTCGCACCCCCCCCTCTCAAGCTTTAGATTTGCACCCCCTAAAAACTTTCGATTTGCACCCCCACACCCCCCTTCGCTACGCCTCTGCACCAATCGGTATCTATTTCAATGCTGCAATAGGTTAACACACCACAACATTAGGTAATATCGGGAATTCCTCGAATTAGTCTCTTCCTGAACACATCAAGTAAATATAGCTCGAGTTAGACCTACTTGGTGACAGTCTATTTATAGCATCTAGACCATCTCATTATTTTATTTTCTAGCAGTAAGTTTTTAAACATTACATAACAGATTACTCGTTGTTTATTTCTGCCCTCCGGTTACCATGATGAAGAAATTTATGACGTCACTCAAACGTGAGAATAGTCGTTACATTCACAAGTCCAGACAGACCAGAGTTTGTACCTGGTACTACAGATCCTTACCCTGGCCACATCAGCAAGGGAAGGTACTCTGTGATGGCAGGAACTGGCAGGGTGGAGGGCGTGACGAGGCACGGACAAGGGAAACAAAATTACAGAACCTGCCCGTGTCCGGAATGTGGCAACTCGACCAGGCCCAAAAAGTTGTGGTGGGACGTGTGGGTTGTGACTGTCACACATGTGGTGTTTGACAACAGAGAAGTTAGGCAGTCCACGTGTCGGTTGTGGTTTGATTGTAACGGGAGTCACGTGGTGACCTGCACGGGTGGAAGATATGGGAGTCAGTGACCCAGAACGATTGCTGCTGGGTGCATAACGTGACCCGTGAGTGACAGAGAACGATTGCTGTTGGGTGCATTACGTGACCCGTGACGTGAAGGTCGGCTCCAAGCAGGAGCAGAGGGTGGGGAGGTTCGACTTTCTTCACGAGAAAGTCAGGGATAAATATCACGGGTTTCGTGATCAGCAAAAACTGACCGTCATCGTGTCACATCCACACGGCTGTGCTAAACATGTTTCTATAGGGCAGTGGGTACACAGAGAAAACGTCTTGCATACAGAAGGTAATTGTACAAGGTACACGTACACAACGTGTACATGTCCAGGTAGCAGCGGAGCTATGGTGTACAGACTCGGGTGTGAGTGGACGTACCACCTGGGGTGTGAGTGGACGTACCACCTGGGGTGTGAGTGGACGTACCACCCCCACAGTGGGGCCAGGTCCCGAAGTTTGAATTACAACATAGAATTATCTGCTCCTGTGGATGGTACGTAAACAACATGGCGTCTTGTTCATAGCTAAACCAAATATTTTCTTACCAATAAAACAACCCGAAATGTTTATATATAAAATCTATCACACATAACGCGATGGACATGGTTAGGGCTTCTCCCTGACACACCGTTTGTATACAAGTATCAATTGACAGCATGGTAAACCTAGTAGTTTCTCGAATTTCGATCTAAAATAAAAGCGTTCTAAAAGTTTTTATTTGTTGTTTTTGTAAGTAAAAATGAACGAGATAAAGTTAATATCTGTAGACAAAATGTTTCACTCCTCAGGAGACGCTGTCTACCCGCACATAAACATACACCTTTAACTGCTGCGCAAGACTGACCGCTGGTTATTGCTGATGTCGGTACCTGATACACGTTAGAAGTTTAAGAAATTTCTTCTAGATATCTAAACACCTGATTTATCGGAGAGAACATTTATCAATAGTGAGTTATACTGGGAATACAATGTGCACTTTTAAAAAGCAACAACGAACATTTAAATTAAAAATTATTCTTCAGTTTACAAAATTCTATTTCTATATGTATGCTAAGAACATAATTAATTGTAGTTAAATCAATTAAGAGATTTGCGACTCATATTTCAAAATAAATTAGTTTTAGGCGAGAAAAATACATAAGAATATCTTGTACGAACAGATTTATTTTTATACAAGCTGACATCAATAGTGTGTTCAAATTAGCTTACGAAAAGAAAATAATTATAATAAAGTGCAGTTGGTGGGCATGTGATCAAACACCATGCAATCGCCCTTATCTATGGTAGGTGTTTGATTTGATTCCGTCACTTAGACCAGTGATTTTCTGCCACGTGGTGTTTCGTAAAGTTGCCACAAAGATTGTAAAAAAAAAAAAAAAAAAAAACAACGATCTATGGCAGTGGTCTACAACCTGCGGCTCATGAGCCGCATGCGGCTCTTTTGATGTCATGGTGCGGCTCTCGAGTTCATGCACAAATATTAATAGTTATATTATTTCATGTTCAAATCTCTTAAAAATGTACTATACAGAAAAACAACTTTAAAAAGGATTAAAACACTCATAAGAGAACAGTGAGAATAGGTGAAGTAGAGAGTACACGGACAGCTAATCGCCGCTTGGGCACCATACCCAGCCCCACAGCCGTGCTATAACCAGCACCGTAACGACTATTCCATGTTTGCTACTTTCAAAGTGCCGCCTTTTTCGAATGTCGTTAAATGGGGAATGTTATTTTTATACAGAATGCATTCCTCTACCTGTCAGTATGCATTAATTTGACCTGAGTGATGTAATATTTTAGTTATTAGCTTCCTACGGTTGAGCTATAAGGTAATGGACACTGTGTTCGTGTAGGCCGTAGGGTGAAAGATAAGCCATGTCAGAACCAAAAGACAGAAGTGACCGATACAGTAATCCAACCGATATCCAAGCCAGTTAGTCGGGGTTTGCCGTGTTGTGGCCTGCCTGACTATGAAAGACACCTACTGAACCAGTGGTGTCCGTAAAGAAAGAAAAATGATTGGCTTCTAATGTGGATTGGTATAGTCCTATAGATAGTCCTATATATGTGATTATTTATTTTTTAATAGCAGATCTAACTAAAACAGTTCTTGTGAGAAACATTGGTTTGTTTTCATTTGAAACAATAAGTTCATAGTTAACGCTATTTATTTCAAATCAAAAAACAAATTTATGTACCTAATCCTTATCAAATACCAAAATATTTTTAAAAATGTTAGTGGCTCTTTATAAACTGGGAAATTATGTAAATTGCAATTTTTGGCTCTTCCGTCTCAAAAAGTTGCCGACCCCTGATCTAGGGTGTGTTTTTGTTATGCGACTAGGTAAAGTAGAGAGTCACGATTTGTTTATTCAAAGCAAGAGATCTTCCCTTACAATTTTTACTTGAGCAAATAATGTATGTACACATCCTGAATGAAATTTTCCGAAAAATGTAGGCCATCTATACAAACCCTACAGCATGACTCAGGGCAATTATTCTGTTTCTCTACACTTTTCTAACCAGAGATAGAAGGAAACTGTTATGATAATTGAATTAATTTAGAAAATGGATAAGTTTAATACAACTAGTTTATAAAATATTTAATTAATGAAAATAAAACCGATGAAATTGGTATCATTTAGTGTTTGCTATTCTAACCGCAAGATGAAGTAAGCTAAAGAAAAAACTTTATTACATTGACCTAGCTACATAATGTTTGAGTGGTGTCCCAAAGACGATATCAAATGCTTTATGTGGATCTATAGCGCTTTTATATCTGAGCATAAGACAAGATCATTGTCCACACGACATACATGTTTAGATAATTTACATTGTTCATGTTAAGTTGGCTTCAACGCTTTTTCCCATCTACAATCATTGTTTTCTGATTTTGTTTGTTTTCATCACTTATAATTAGGCAACCAAATGAAAGGTTGTTCCAATGTATTATTGTAATGATTTTTAAAAAAGTGTTCGTTTTAAATGATTTATATCGGTTGTTTTTAAATTAATCACAACTCAACGTAGATAACTGAAAAGTACTACATGTTTAGTAATGATTTAATAGTTACCTCTCTTTCAGTTTGATTTTTTGTGTGGTTTTGCTTGCGATTGAATAATTGACCTCTTCGAGATGCTTTAAATACCAGCTGTTTGTTTCGTTATTTTAAAAAGTGAAGGTTTTAGTTGTCGCTTATTAATTTATTACTTGTGTACAAAGTTGATTGTTTCTCTTGATATTAATATGAAATATATAACCATTAACAGCTAGCCATATATTACTTCACGTAACAATTTAAACTTTATATTTCTTTTGAATAGAATCTCTTATTAAAATGTATAATGAACATAATTTAGACACAGCTGAATACTTGTCTGTTTATTAGTTTATTTTGACTGACTTTGTCAATTTAATCGAACGGATAGTTTAGAAAAGAGATGTCAGCGTATAGATAAGTATAAATCAACTAGAATACCTGCTGCGCGGCGATCTAATAGCAAATAATAATTTGAAAATAAATCACAAAATACTTTATCGAGTGCCTTACGCATGATTTGGAGCTGGGTGAAAAAAATAAAAGGAATGGTCGAGCGATTCGAAAGTCTGTGCAAGGAATTACAAGACAAATACAAAAGTCGCAGAAATATCGACCGTCTGACCGTTATAGTCTCTCATCCTCACGGTGGAGAGAAAAAAGTCACTCTTGGTCGCTGGGTACACAGACAGAACGTTCTGGTAGATTGGGCCATGTACACGTACACAAATTACACCTACCAGGGCAGTAGTGGGGCTCCCATCTACAAGCTGGGGTCTTGGTGGTCATTCCAGCACACACGCAGTGGGTCAAAGGTCGGGGGGGGGGGGGGTAAGCTACAGTGGGTCTAAGGTCGGGGGGGGTAAGCTAGAGTTGGGTTTGATGAAGACATGTAGTGGTCGGTTGTTTTAGTTTGCAATTGAAGTTTCTACTAAGTATCCCAAGAACATAACAGCAAAACGTTATTTTTAACACTAGGTGTCCATTGGGTATTTGTATCATTCGGGCAAGTGTCCATTGGGTATTTGTACCATTCGGGCAAGTGTCCATTGGGTATTTGTACCATTCGGGCAAGTGTCCATTGGGTATTTGTATCATTCGGGCAAGTGTCCATTGGGTATTTGTACCATTCGGGCAAGTGTCCATTGGGTATTTGTATCATTCGGGCAAGTGTCCATTGGGTATTTGTACCATTCGGGCAAGTGTCCATTGGGTATTTGTATCATTCGGGCAAGTGTCCATTGGGTATTTGTACCATTCGGGCAAGTGTCCATTGGGTATTTGTATCATTCGGGCAAGTGTCCATTGGGTATTTGTACCATTCGGGCAAGTGTCCATTGGGTATTTGTACCATTCGGGCAAGTGTCCATTGGGTATTTGTACCATTCGGGCAAGTGTCCATTGGGTATTTGTATCATTCGGGCAAGTGTCCATTGGGTATTTGTACCATTCGGGCAAGTGTCCATTCTGGAAAACGTCCGGCTCCCCCTCATTAACGGTACAAGACCCAAAGAACGACCCCGGTACAAGACCCAAAGAACGACCCCGGTACAAGACCCAAAGAACGACCCCGGTACAAGACCCAAAGAACGACCCCGGTACAAGACCCAAAGAACGACCCCGGTACAAGACCCAAAGAACGACCCCGGTACAAGACCCAAAGAACGACCCCGGTACAAGACCCAAAGAACGACCCCGGTACAAGACCCAAAGAACGACCCCGGTACAAGACCCAAAGAACGACCCCGGTACAAGACCCAAAGAACGATCCCGGTACAAGACCCAAAGAACGACCCCGGTACAAGACCCAAAGAACGACCCCGGTACAAGACCCAAAGAACGACCCCGGTACAAGACCCAAAGAACGATCCCGGTACAAGACCCAAAGAACGACCCGTGCTAAATTACTGTCTGTAGACGCGACTAGAGGCAAAAAAAATATTATTACGTTTTTGTTATTTGATTTCTATTATACTCTTTACTTATGTTCCTTATGCATTATTCTCAGTCTGATGTTTGCTGACTTGAAACAAATGATCTAAACACTAAAGAATGCAGTGCGCAACATGCGCAGATGTCTGCATATTTTCCATGTGTGCACCATTCGACACAATGGTTTTGTTACACACATAAAATGGCTGAGTCAGAAAATCAGTTCAGAAGGTAGGTCTACATGCAAACTTATTAGATCTAAATATTGACATTTTATCTCAATAAATTTTGGTATGAAAGGAAAGTTTGGTCGGCACTCTGACCAAGACTTTGGCCAGTCATCCCTAACAAGGTGATCGTCTGATCAAGACTTTGGCAAGTCATCCCTAATCATTTAGCGGACTGGCCAGACGATGGCTAAAATCGTGAAAAAGTTGTGACGATTCATTGGAATTGATGTTGGGCAACACGCATATTGGCCGGCCAATGCGTGGATTTGAATTTCGAGTTTAAACTTCTTCCCTCTTTTTTGAAAAAAAAAATCTTATTTTTCTTGATCTCAGTGTTAAAATTATATTATGCTTTAGCCTGTGTAAATTTGAAAACTTGTCATTACATTTGTATTCCGAGACCAAAATATATTCGCACAATTCTTTTCTTATCAGAAAAGTGAACGTAAAGGACAAACTGACACAAGAAAATGTTACAGATGAGTCACTACCTACTCTTGGAGATGAAAGTGATTATAAGAGCTCTCAAACAGAAGTAAGCAAATTGTAAATTAGTTATCTCAACTTACGTAACTTTACCGCTGTATTTCTATATTTCTATAGGGCTCAATTTTAGATATATTTGACTAACTATGTGCCGATATACTGTCACTGTGGCAGGAGGATCACAGAGAATGTAGGCGAGTGATTGAGATACAGAATCAAATTTTGAAAGACAACAAGCGTAAAGCAGAAATTGAGTTCCAAACATTTATGGACATGCACCGGATAACAGTGGGGGTTTGTTCGTTTTTTTTTTAATTAACGCCAGACATCACACATAATTATATGTTACGTTTGAACGGGGTTGACAAGCAAGGTTGTTATTACGAGATGGATCGTTAATTATCATTCACGTAATACCATGACTAACAACATTGATGTGTTACTCATGGTTGAAGAAACATTTGTAATTTATGGCTCATCGGACACTCACGCATCACCACCAGAAATCAGGGGAGGGGAAGGGTGGGGGGGGGGGGGTCGGGGTGTGTCGGGATTTGTCGAGCCTCAAGCGCTAAACACATGATTGAGTAGTATGCTATAATCAAGAGTCAATAGACTTGTGTAAGCTAAATTTAAGTGGTGATAGACATTGCATTGAAGTGAGAAGACCGGTCAACTAACATAACTTAATCTGGTCAGTTAATAGTTGTTCTTAGAATAGTACTTGGTGGATAGAATAATTAACATTTAAAAATCGAAATCGAGATTCTACCCCTCCCTGAGAAGAAGATGTAGTTTTCTTTTTTCTGACAAATTTTGAAAAACTTTCACTGACCGCTGACCGGAAAAAATACTTTACCCTCTTTCCTATTTCTTAAGAGGACGCATACTCATTTATTTTTAATTTGATTCCTCTATCTTTCTGTAGAAAGTACAAATGTACCACACTATCACACACAGCTTAATTGCTGTTCATTTGGTGCGCAATTTTTTTTTCTACGAGATTCTATTCTATTTAAAATATTAAATAATTTGAAAATTGATAATTTAAAATGGTCTATATCTAGACTAGACAGGAGTTGCCCTACTCGTTAGTGGTATCTAAACATATTCAAGAAAGTTTAGGGGAGATCACTCGCGCTTTTTTTCATTTGTTTTTCAAGTGTGAAATTGTTTTAATGACTTTAAAAATAATAATAATAAAGTTGTATAGTTTAATAATGTAATTATATTTTCATTTTGATACAAAATAGTCAAGAAAATGGGTAAAAAAGTTTTGATAGATACACACCAAAACATACACAGGTAAAATGAGCTATCTCTTCCGCTTTAATGTAGTGTTTTTATGACTCCAGAAGCTTCTAGATGTGACGGTTAAAGAATATGAAAAAAATAAAGAAATAGAGCGTCTTCAAAAAGAAAACAGAAACCTGACTAAACGACTAGAGAAAAAGGAGGAGCAAATGAACCAAGTATGTAGCCTTTTAAGACATGTTGTAATATGTACGATTTTTTTTGTGATCAATGTACCTATTTATGATGCCTTTTTAATTTGATAAGGCTTTACAAGCTAAAGAAGAGGCACATAGGCGTATCTTGGACGGCAACGAGAAGGAGTTGTTCAGTAAGTTGTTTCTCTACACTTTTCATATAAAAAAAGGCAAACCAATTAGTAACATTTTAAATTTACGTTTAGTTATTTATATAAATCTTGTATCTTTTGTTTCACATTGATCTTTTTGTGGAAATTTCAAAAGGCCTAAATCAAGAAAACAAAGAATTACAAGCATTATTAAAAGCAGTACATGGAGATCTTCTTGAAGCCAAAGATAAGTTAAATGAGACAGCTACGCGGATGGATGGAAAATTAAATCAGGTATACGCCAGTTTTTTTGTATTGTCTTCTTTGATATGTCTGCCAGTGTTTGTGATGTTTTTAAACTTTGCAATTAGTAATAATCGCGTGAAGCACCTTTAATATCTATATTTTATCAACATATATGTGTCAGTCTCGTCTACCTCCGTGACTGGTCATCTCTTATTTGTCGAGCCATATTTCATGCTCCTACCTGCTGGCCAATGGTTTCATTCTTCAAGTTTTTTTTTTCACCAGGCAAGCAAGAGCACAGACTTGGAGACATCAATTAGAGAGAATGACGAGATTATAAACTACAACCAAAACAACCTTACAACTGTCTGCCCATCCACCCTGTACAGCGAGTCAGGTCAGATTATAATAATTATATAATTGAGAGAGTTCAATGTCTCTCCTGTTCTGTCCAGTCTTTGTCTGTCTGTCTGTCTGTCTGTCCGTCCGTCCGTCCGTCCGTCCGTCCGTCTGTCTGTCTGTCTGTCTGTCTGTCTGTCTGCCTGTCTGTCAACCTGCCTGTCTGTCTGCCTGCCTGTCTGTCTGTCTGTCTGTCTGCAATAACTTTTAGCACACAAAAGTTATTATTATAAAACTTTAATCATTGGAAAAAACGTGTGTCATCTATCATTTCTTTTTAAACATTTTTCAGAAGACGTTTCTGACAGTTAAGGCGATACTTATTTTCAGTGGGAAATACTAATGTCATCGGTGCTAGGAGATTTTTGGGGGATTGTGAAAAGTTTGGGACAAAAAGACGAAGAATATGTTTCTGAGGAAGATCGATCAATTACAAGGGAGTACAGAAAACCGATTGAAACTGAACTTAATTTAACTTGCCATGATGTTCTAAATGCTGTTGACTACAATCTTATTCCAAAGTTGTGTAGTATTAAATGGCAGGAGATTACCATATAACTGAATTTGCCACTGGGAATGATAGAAAAGAAGCTTCTGAAAACAGTTTAGTTGACTACAAAGCTGCAAGCGACATTTCTATGACAGAGTTGGTCCCTACATATCCTATTCGTCTCGGTGTGGCACTCAACTTCTTAGTATTTTACTTCGAGATTTTGAATTCTCCTGATCGTTCTTGTCGGCTTGCCAAAGCAGCATTTGATGAAGCTATAAATAGTTGGTTTCAATTTGTCATCTTCATTTTGTTTACTTTGCATTCGTGAACAATTCATCTACACTTTTAAAAACTTTTCATAAATGTTTCTATTCATCCTTCATAGGATTCCTCCTTGAAATGAATGATTTTGTGCATGGATGTCATTAATATTATGTCTGTTGTATAAATAGTTGTAAAAATGTAAAGATTGGTGTCCTACACCAATAAAACAAGTTCACATTTCAAACCTAATTTGTTTTTTACAACCGAAGCAAAGGTTCAATGTTATGTATCCAGTGACAATTATTTGAAGCATAACTTGTGTAAACCACATTTCAATTCTTAACAATATAATTATAAACAAATATTTTAAAATCTAAATATTACCCTACTGGGTCTTTTGATTTTTCCAATTTCTGCAAGTTTAAAACTCATTCGTACTTACATTTAACTTCTAAATGCCTATTTAAAAAATGTTCAAGTCAGTATACAAAACAATACATTCATGTTTTAGTCACTATCCATGGTTACAAAGTCTTTAACTTTTAAGTGCAAGGAGGGTTAATCATAACCATTGGTTTCAATTGCATACGATTATTTGCATTTGATTATAAGTAATCACTTAAGTTATCATTATTAAATCTTCAATGCTCAGACTTGTAGCGTTAAACATAGTCTGCTGAAGTAGGATGAATTTCATTTCTAATAACTTTTTAATCAAACGTTGTTGTTTCATTAAAATTCATTTCTAATAACTTTTTAATCAAACGTTGTTGTTTCATTAAAGTTCATTTCTAATAACCTTTTAATCAAACTTTGTTGTTTAATTAAAGTTCATTTCTAATAACTTTTTATCAAGCTTTGTTGTTTAATTAAAGTTCATTTCTAATAACTTTTTAATCAAGCTTTGTTGTTTAATTAAAGTTCATTTCTAATAACTTTTTAATCAATCCTTGTTGTTTAATTAAAGTTCATTTCTAATAACTTTTTAATCAAGCTTTGTTTTTTAATTAGAGTTCATTTATATTAGCTTTTTTAATCAAACATGGTTGTTTAATTAAAGTTCATTTATATTAACTTTTTCTTCAAACTTTGTTGTTTGATTTAAAGTGGGTTAGGTGAATCTTAAGAATGTCTTTCACTGGTGAATTTCTCACAAAACCAGTCGAGCATCGCAGGTATACTTAGAATACAAAATGTAGGTGTCTTGTTAATGTTACTTTTATCTTCACACAATTATATTTAAGTTGAATTTAAAATGTGTACTGAGGTAAATACACTAATCTTAATTTATATTGACTTTATATAGTTTTAACACAAAATTTAAGGAAAATAAATTATTCTTAATTTGGCTTCAAGTTTTATATTTCATATGTTTCTACCTTGTATGCTACATGGAGGTGCGAGTTTCTTAACAAATGTTTTTGTCAGTATTTTATAATCATTGTTGAGTAAAGATGTAGGTCTTCAACTTATAAGTTTTGTCCTATCCGTATCATGTTTAGTAATGAGTGTAGTGTATTATGTGTTCAAATATGTTATTCACTACTTTCTGCGCAGACAATTCACAATAGGTGAGTTCGAATTTCAATACACCTGCACTGGCTGGCATATTTAATAATATGGCTATTCAACTAATTTTTTTTAACTTAAATAAATCTTTATTTTATATAGAATAATATACTATTATACTAAGCCTATAGTAATTAATAACCAGATTACCGTATTAATATAATATAATGTCCAGACAGATTATGCTATGCATTAGATTTTTATATCATTGAGTGCTATGTGTAAGGGATATTGACTATACAACCATGGATTAAAGTAATGCTAATTTATTTTAACAATTAATCAAACAGCAAGACTGTTAATGCTTCTGGACAATTTCTCACATGTTGATTAAGACCATTACTATTAATGCTTGAAACTGTTACTATCCTGTTTATTGGTCGGCTCGCGACATTCACGACTTTTTATTGTTTATAATAAATAATCGAACTACGTAAACCTCGACTGCATAATTACTTCAATAAAGTGGGCCAAGCAGTTTATTGGTATGATGACAAGAGTATCAGAATATATTTTTCATGCGTCTGCCTTTTAAACAACTTTTTAAGACCAGCTTGAAAAGGGGTATTAGACCAGCAATGCTACTGGCTATTTACCTTTACCTTTGGTTGGCTACGAGGATAATAATGTACTGAAATAATTTAGTCGGAGAAGTAGTAGATTTCCTTTATAAACCGACTTCCAGTGCAGCTTAAGACTTCTGATAATGAAAGGCTGAATAAATGTTAGAAGCATCCTGAGCTCCCAGTTATAACAGGCCTTAATGTTGTAAATAAGTTGAACTACAAGGTTTAAATTTAAAAAAAAAGAAAGAAAAAAGAAATAATCGCAAACTATTGTGCACAGTTTAAATATTTGTCAGTTGACTATTTTGGGGTAGGGGAAAGTGTTTAGACGAAAACGTTTTGATAATTAACTTACTAATGAACGTATTTTAACATCCATAATAGAACAAACAATTCAATATTTACAAAACATAATTTTACATTGAAATCATTTTAAAGATTTTTTCTTTTTGATTTTTACGTACGATTTTATAGATAACTAGAATACCCGTCATCCGTTGGATAACTGTGGGTTTCGGGGGTCATCCATCAAAAAACATCACGTCTGTCACTCAGAGGCATAGCGACCCTTCCCGGCGCCCGGGGACAAAGTTTTCGATTTGAACCCCCCCCCCCCCCTCAAACTTTTGATGTGCACCCCCCCCCACTCAAACTTTCGATTTGAACCCCCCTCAACCTATCAATTTATTTTTCCAAACCATTTTGGCGCCCCAACATATGTCCCCCCCCTTCCCCCCTCCACCTCCCCACCCCCCGCCTCCCCTTCCCCCCCCCCCGCCTCCCCTCCCCACCCCCCGCCTCCCCTCCCCTACCGTCCCCCCCCCCCTCCTCGGTACGCTACTGCAGTGTCACTTATCGTCACAAAAAACAGACCCCACATTCAAATATATGTTTTTTATCTTTTAAAAACACCGAAAACACCGATTTCGGACTATCCCTTTATAAACTGACGTCACAGGTGACCTACTCAACTCTACTTCACCTGCCCAGTGTCCTGCCAAGTCTCAGACAACATGTTTTTATCGTTTAAAAAACAATTCCAGCCGAGCATGTATCTGACCACACTATCCTTTCATATGCTTAGGACAAAGAAACAGATGAACTCTACTTCACCTGCCCTGTATCTTGCCAAGTTCAGATAGGCAACGTTATCATTCACATCTAAAAAAAAAAATTGAAAAAAAAAATTTCATTGACATATTGGTCTAGAACCCGTGCCTCCTGCATGAGAGCTGACTACGCTACCATTTTAGCTATTTACTCGTGACGTCACAAGTGAATTTTTATACTATACTATGTGTCTCCTTATGCAACTTGATTTACGCGTATAGATTCTAGATCTAGATCTAAAAATAAGTCTAGTAGTACTAACTTTCAAATTAAATTTTAACTTAAATAAGCCAAACAAAGATTTATATAAAATAATTAAGGCCTGAAATAGATTCTATATGTAGAATTTACATTGAATCTAGTGACCTACATCTAGGCTAGATCTAGATCTAGATCTAGATCTAGGCTAGATTCATAAATTTCCTTCGATAGCTGATCTTTAGATCTAGAGAAATTTATCGTAAAACTAAATGAAAAAGACAGTTGAAAATTGATATAAGTGTTGGAACGTAATAAATACAGCAAACGGACGTATTGTTTAAGTTATAGCCGGCAGAAAATTAGCTTTGTAACGCGTGAAACTTTTGAATGGGCCACAAAGTCTATGATGGGGTCCGCCATTTTTATTGTACCAAAAATGTAAACACATCAAGGGACGTCACTATCCCCACAAAGTTTATTCAAAGTATTAACATTTTTAAAAAAATACGGTTAATTTAACTATGAATAAATCAATAAATTAATTAACGTCTTTAAATAAATTTGTGATTAACAGTCTGTCTTAAAACAAAAATTATTCTCTACCTACATACTATTTTACAGCTTTCCAGATAGAGTGGAACATATCACAATAGTCAATCAGGCAAACAAACAAATAAATATTCAAACATGTAAACAAACTTGACTTTTAGTAGTATACTAGAATACCCGTCATCCGTTGGATAACTGTGGGTTTCGGGGGTCATCCATCAAAAAACATCACGTCTGTCACTCAGAGGCATAGCGACCCTTCCCGGCGCCCGGGGACAAAGTTTTCGATTTGAACCCCCCCCCCCCCTCAAACTTTTGATGTGCACCCCCCCCACTCAAACTTTCGATTTGAACCCCCCTCAACCTATCAATTTATTTTTCCAAACCATTTTGGCGCCCCAACATATGTCCCCCCCCCCCTTCCCCCCTCCACCTCCCCACCCCCCCCTTCCCCCCCCCCCCCCCCGCCTCCCCTCCCCACCCCCCGCCTCCCCTCCCCACCCCCCGCCTCCCCTCCCCACCCCCCGCCTCCCCTCCCCTACCGTCCCCCCCCCCCTCCTCGGTACGCTACTGCAGTGTCACTTATCGTCACAAAAAACAGACCCCACATTCAAATATATGTTTTTTATCTTTTAAAAACACCGAAAACACCGATTTCGGACTATCCCTTCATAAACTGACGTCACAGGTGACCTACTCAACTCTACTTCACCTGCCCAGTGTCCTGCCAAGTCTCAGACAACATGTTTTTATCGTTTAAAAAACAATTCCAGCCGAGCATGTATCTGACCACACTATCCTTTCATATGCTTAGGACAAAGAAACAGATGAACTCTACTTCACCTGCCCTGTATCTTGCCAAGTTCAGATAGGCAACGTTATCATTCAAATCTAAAAAAAAAAATTGAAAAAAAAAATTTCATTGACATATTGGTCTAGAACCCGTGCCTCCTGCATGAGAGCTGACTACGCTACCATTTTAGCTATTTACTCGTGACGTCACAAGTGAATTTTTATACTATACTATGTGTCTCCTTATGCAACTTGATTTACGCGTATAGATTCTAGATCTAGATCTAAAAATAAGTCTAGTAGTACTAACTTTCAAATTAAATTTTATCTTAAATAAGCCAAACAAAGATTTATATAAAATAATTAAGGCCTGAAATAGATTCTAGATGTAGAATTTACATTGAATCTAGTGACCTACATCTAGGCTAGATCTAGATCTAGAATTCTAGGCTAGATTCATAAATTTCCTTCGATAGCTGATCTTTAGATCTAGAGAAATTTATCGTAAAACTAAATGAAAAAGACAGTTGAAAATTGATATAAGTGTTGGAACGTAATAAATACAGCAAACGGACGTATTGTTAAAGTTATGACCGACAGAAAATTAGATTTAGAACGCGTTAAACTTTTGAATGGGAACACAATTTTCTTCAATAGACGCCGCCATTTTATTGTACTAAAGAGTAAACAAAAACCTGTGACGTCACTATTCCCACAAAGTTTAGTCAAGGTTTTAACATTTTAAAAAAAAATGGGTTATTCTGCCTAGGAATAAATCAATAAATTAATTAACGTCTTTAAATAAATTTGTGATCAACAGTCTGTCTGCATTAAAAAATTATTCTCTACCTGCATACCATTTTACAGCTTTCCAGATAGAGTCGAACATATCACAATTTTCGATCAGGCAAACAAATAAATATTCAAACATGTAAACAAACTTGACTTTTAGTAGTATATAGATATAGATATAATAACCACAGAAAATATACTCTTAGCAACACAAGGATTTAGACTATAACAATGTTTTTCCAAATCTTTATCACTGAGGGAAAAAAAGATTCACGTAGGAACTAGTTAAACGCTTTACGGCCTGTCGACCCCAGCTTCCACCTTTTATTTCATTCTGCCTGTCCTACCATAGGCATTAAGGCTGGACCATTTGCAAGGCAGCAGTTGTTTGATTTGGGTGTTAATTCTTGTCCCCATGTAACTTAAGGTTGGACCATTTGCAAGGCAGCAGTTGTTTGATTTCGGTGTTAATTCTTGTCCCTATATAACTTAAGGTTGGACCATTTGCAAGGCAGCAGTTTTTTGATTTCGGTGTTAATTCTTGTCCCTATATAACTTAGTTGGACCATTTGCAAGGCAGCGGTTGTTTGATTTCGGTGTTAATTCTTGTCCCTATATAACTTAAGGTTGGACCATTTGCAAGGCAGCAGTTTTTTGATTTCGGTGTTAATTCTTGTCCCTATATAACTTAGTTGGACCATTTGCAAGGCAGCGGTTGTTTAATTTTGGTGTTAATTCTTGTCCCTATATAACTTAAGGTTGGACCATTTGCAAGGCAGCGGTTGTTTAATTTTGGTGTTAATTCTTGTCCCTATATAACTTAAGGTTGGACCATTTGCAAGGCAGCGGTTGTTTAATTTTGGTGTTAATTCTTGTCCCTATATAACTTAAGGTTGGACCATTTGCAAGGCAGCAGTTGTTTGATTTTGGTGTTAATTCTTGTCCCCATGTAACGAGCCTCATCAGCAAAGGGCAGCAACTACCAGACAGTCCCCTGGTTTGTCATGGAACCGATACTATACCGATACTATACTGCTCACTTCAAAAACATTGGGGTGATTTGAAAGTGGATTTAATACAGCGCTTTTAAATGGTCTAAATATTCGTTTTAAAATACGTCTTGCACTAGGGACCTTGCACTAGGGACCTTGCACTAGGGACCTTGCACTAGGGACCTTGCACTAGGGACCTTGCACTAGGGACCTTGCACTATGAACTTTGCATTAGGGACCTTGCACTAAGGACCTTGCACTAGGGACCTTGAGCTAGGGACCTTGCACTACGGATCTTGCACTAGGGATTCAGTACACATTTAAACAACCCGATTCTTGAAAACAATCCACACGTCTAAAAAATAGACGAAATGAAAATGGTTCATCAAACCCTTATAACATGTTTTGCCAGTCTGGTGTGTCGCAGTAGACCCCAGCAATGTGAAACGAATACGCTTGCATTTACATACTGGAATTCAAGTCATTAAATATGCTAAAAACAAAATAAACAAAGTCTTACACATTGCACATACGACTTTATTAGATGTTATAAGAATTATATGAGTGATTTAAATAGCGTCATGTTTATTTACGTTTTAGATGTATATGAGACCGCTAAACCAAACTACATGATGGTATTTAGATCGTTTGAATCTTCCAGTCAGCATCATTCCGGAATCTAAAAATGAGATGATATAAAACATTGTAGTCCAAACAGTTAAACAACAAAACTAGGTATAAATGCATGATGTATTATTTAATTATCTAAGAAAAATAAAGTGAAAGTGAATCTTTTCAACTTTGCCGCTCATTCTTATAAAACGTTGGTACTTTCGGTGCAATCTGCATATAGAACAACATAATTCTCCAGACTATTGGAGAAAACACGTCGACTTAATAAGTTCATTTTTGAAAATACGATTTTAAAGTTATGAAATTTTGAAACATTTTGAGAAATTGGAAATAGTTATATACTCCTTCTGGTTACATGAAACTGCTCAAAGGTGAAAGTAATCTACGTACAGAAGTTCATTTGTAGCAGAAATTCCGTCTCTCTTTAAAAAGCGGCACAAAGTAGAATGAAATACAAATTCCGTTTACAGAAAATTCAACAAAGATGATAAATCTAAATCATCCCTCAACCCTTTTAGGGTTGTTGTGGCACCGCAGAGTGGTGTGTCTAGAGTTGAATCCCATGGCGCCGCCCCCCCCCCCCCCTCTCCAGGCCTGACCACAGCCGGATGTCTCCATCTAGGTGGCTCGCCTAGGTCACGATCACGTGACTGTTAAAGTTTTATCTAGTAATTTATGCGCCCTGGGCGGTGACCTTAACGTGAAGGTCATACGATGCCGTGTTAGCATCAGTTGTTTGAGTTTTCTTTCAGATATGAGCAGTTGTTCCCCATAATTGGGGATCGTCTGCCCGGTGTTTGAACTCGGGACTTTCCGGTACAGCAATAATGTGCTACACCAACCCGACCATGCCGAAATGATAGATACAGGAGTATACTATCTTATATATATATATATATATATATATATATATATATATATATATATATATATATATATATATATATATATATATATATATTACTGAAACAGTACTCTATATTTTCCAAACCGAAAATTGTGTACAGCACCATATTTCCGGATATCAAAGGTCACTAATCAATTAAAAGAGTATTGGAAGTACAAGATCATCTACTTATATATGCCATTTATACAGTACTTGCCTTATTGTTTTCTTAATTAAATAGAGTACCATTAGTGGTTAAAAGATATTGTTCGAAACTTGAAAGAAACCTAATATGTTTATACAAAGTGTTGTTGTCCCCCCCCCCCCCGATAATTTCAAGTGCCCCCGGAGAAAAAAGTCTGGAAGCAACACAACGTGATCGTGTTTGTAAAACTTAGACGTACAAACACACGCTCTCGCAAGCACTCACACCTTCACCCAGCCTACCCAGCACAGAAACACGCACACACACAGAGACAAACATACCTACCAGATCTCAAATCGAAGTTTTTCCCATTTAATGCCTAGTCCTATGCTTCTTTCTTTTCTTCAGGCTGTTGACCACTGAAAATAGAAGGGAAAACTTAGTTTAAAAAAACAATGTCTTTAAAGACATTAAGCTCTGAGATCATCTACATTATAATATGTGATATGCTGTGTGTTTTTTCAGTCCTCTAGGAGCCTAGTGGAGCACACGCCAACAAGGCATCTGTGTCTTATCGTTTCTCCAATCTATATAATCTATTTAACAATTTCACTATTCTATATGTCTTTTTTTCTGTCTGTCAAGAGCACTTAAGAGAAAATACAGGCAGAATGACTTCACGTGAAACAGAGAGCAAAATATCAAGATTAAACAAAACTTATGAAGTTTAAACACCGGAGAAACACAAACATAGAATAATGTTATGTAATGAAGTCCTAGCCTCTAACACGTGCGTTCGAAATAAAAAGACACCACACACTACCCATGAAATAAAGGGTGTAATTTATAACAAAAAGAAAAACCAATGATGTTTCTCAATACGACCCCACACCCCTCACACCCCTCACACCCCCTACCTGTGAAACCAAGGTGCGTCCCAGAGTAACAAACAAATATCAACTTACGGGTGAAAAAGAGCAGGGCAGCTGTAGCAACCAGACCGAAAAGCAGCTCATCGCGGTAGTTGTCAGCTTCTCTGTTTGTAGAGAATGTATGTTTGCAGTTTACAAAGATGGATAAGCTGTGAGTGAGTGTGTGTTCGTGTGTGTTTGTGTGCGAGCAAAAGTGCGTGCGACAGTGCGTGTGCGTGTCGAAGCTTAGCACGTAGGTAGGTGGGTATAAAGAGGACGTTAATTACACTAATTACACTAATACCTACCTAATAAATAAACCAAACTTACTTGTGGCCATCGTCTGAAGATTCCTCACACGTGCAGGGTTCCGTCGCATTTTCTCTAGGTCTATAAATAGAGAAGATATGTTTTGAAATTTATATATCGATAATTAGATTAACTTTCTAACCTGATAATCTATGAGACACGTGAAGAAGTTCATTTATTCAGTGAGCTCGCCATATGACGTGTTCAGCACTATGCCCAGCCACTTTTATTTTCCCTAACGTTAGTTAGGTACCCATCAAAACTCAGGAACGTTCTACTACCATGAACCCGGATTTGAACTAGAAACAATCGGGATAGCAGTCTCGCCCTCTACCGCTATGCCACTCCGTCCCATATTTACTGATGGATTGATAAACTAAATAAACTAGACCAGTGTTGGTACCAGGTTAGTTATCGCCTTAGGCAGAACTTATTCAAATTTATTCAAACTTATTAAAACGGCCCCTTTTACACACATACATTAAAATAGTAAATATGTAAAAGAAAAAATTAAAGTGTCATATTAATTATTCATTGCATAGGCCATAACGTTAAAAGTAAATTGCAAAATGAAAATTAAATTTTTCGCGCCATCTTCCTCGCTAAAGTTTCTAATAGTTCCTTCAATTCCAGTGTCGATTGCTAATCACATTCTCTTGAAATGGTTGCTAAGGCAACACATTTGTGACATAGTTTAACGCACCTGTTTCAATTTATTTCAATTTTGAAAGAAACTAAGTTATCCATTAGCCACGAAGATTTAACAGTATTCTCGAGAAAACAACGACCTTTGGTACACTATCTTGCAACTTGTGTTGTGCTATATAGAGCAGCACTTCTGATGTTGACATTGAGCGACTACTTAATGCTCTTTGCAAAGATCATCCGCATCAATAACTTATTAGTTTTATGCGTTAACGAAGTTTCAAAATATTTGCAGTCAGTAAGTACATTCGCAGGTGTGTTTTTGCTGATATTGGATGTAGCATAAAAATAGTATGCTGTTCTAAGTGTTGGAATCTGTTTTCGATAGACTGTACAGCCTGTTCAAGACAGGGTAGTAGAATTCTACTTTCAGTGTTTAGGATTCTGTGGTGCCTCGTCTTGAACTTCATCCTCAAACTGCCGCATATGTCTCCTTCTTCTACATTCTACGGACTCAAATTTCGCATCAGTAAAAAATACAACTTACTTTTCATCATCAGACTCGACATCAGGCTGCGCAGTGACGTTCATGTGTGGCCTGTAAGAAAGTACAGATGTTTTCTATTGAAATAATAGTTTCTATCGACAGATAAACAGATTCAATAACTTAGACAAGAGGAAGGCAGATCAGTCTGCAGGCCGTTGCATAGAAAGACATATTTATCTTTAGTCCAGTGAAACCTACAGAAGTAAGAACTTACTCAAGACAGCATTTCTCTTTGTAGCTGCCACAGCATCCGTAGGGACAGTCAATGAGGCTGTACGTGTACAGGAAGGTGTTAAATGAGATGTTATATCCATCAAACTGACAACTAGCTAGTTTTTTCCAGGCAACACAGTGTTCAGCCCGGACACCTAAAGACAAACATTCAAGAATTCATTAGTTTCATGTAACTTTTCATGACCTTTTCGCATAATACTCACACAATTAGTGTTTGCCCATCAACCACCAATTTTAGCTAAAGTAATTTTTAATAATGCAATATAAATGTTCAACAGATTCAATATAATTAATTAATATAATGTTTTAATTAATTAAAATTTTCAATTTGTTTTATTGTAGGCAGTAGCGTAGCGAGGAGGGGGGGGGGGGGGGGGCGGGGGGGACATATGTCCTCCGGGCGCCGACCTTAGGGGGCGCCAAAATGGGTTGGAAAAAAAAATTGAAAGGTTGAGGGGGGTGCAAATCGAATGTTTGATGGGGGGTGCAAATGGAAATCTGGAGGGGGGGGGGGTGCAAATCAAAAGTTTGACCGGGGGTGCAAATGAAAATCTCGAGGGGAGGGGTGCAAATCGAATGTTTGAGGGGGAGTGCAAATCGAAATCTCGAGAGGGGGGGTACAAATCGAAAGTGTCCCCGGGCTCCGTGAAGGGTCGCTACGCCTCTGATTGTAGGGGAGTACTTTTAACGAAATAACTTTTATATACAAATTTTTTAGTTCACATTTATTTAGATCTATCATCCATTTTTTTCTTCTTTTTCTACCGCATTGGCTACTGTATTGGGGGCCTTAAAGATTATTTCTTTACCTTTATCTTTGTATTAATCCGTACACAGTTTTTTGAGAATTATTAATGAGATAAATGGTTATTTGAATTTTAAAAATCCTATAGAATTTTGCTGTTAGTTAAATGGGTTAGTTAAATTTGGTTTCATTTAATAAATCAAAAAAGTCAATTTATGAATAATTAATTGCTTTACTTAAGGGATACAATTGAACTAAAGCAAGAGTTTTAGTGAATTAATCTGCATTATATATATATATATATATATATATATACATATGGAAAATGCAGTAAAGTAATAGCCTTTGTTTATATCGATATAGCTTTTGATTTCCTGGTTTAGGTAAACCTAAACGAATTAAAAAGGGATTACTATAATTTTGCTTTATAACAGATTTGCACCATGTTGTAAAATGCTCGATCGACCAACCGTCCAACTGACCAACCGTCCAACCGACCAACCGTCCAACCGACCAACCGACCAACCGTCCAACCGACCGACCGTCCAACCGACCGACTGCTCCAGAGACAGACAGATCCAGGTTAGTTTAGAGTTTAAAAAAAAATTACCTCAAATAGCAACAATTCTAGAATTGACCCCTCTTAAAAAAACTTACAGTCATTGAGTCATTTCGTCATATATATATATATATATATATATATATATATATATATATATATATATATATATATATATATATATATATATATATAATTTATATATATGTAATTTTTTAATATATATATATATGTATAATTTATATATATACATGTAATTTTTAAAAATATGTATATATATATGTATATATGTATATATATATATATATATATATATATATATAATTTATATATAAATGTAATATGCAAGTTATATATATATGCAATTTATATATATAAAATTTATATATATAGGGCCTATATATATATATATATATATATATATATATATATATATATATATATATATATATATATATATATATATATATAAATTGACTTTTTTGATTTATTATCAATTATCGATCTTTACTTACCCGACACCTGCAACAACATCACCATGACGAAAAGCCACACTTTCTTCCAAGGTCCACGACAAGGGGTCATGTGATCAGGCCCATCATACACATCCATCTTTTTGTTCTCCTCTGCCTGTCCGGCTACCTGGACATCAACGACGGCCTGGTCGAGCTCGGCCTCTTCCTGGGTGGTCAATGTCAAGGCCGTAACCTCTGGCTGCTTCTGGACATCATTTATAACCAGGATTCGATCGGCCTCATCGTGTAGAGGTAGTAGCACGGCCGTCACCTTTGACCCTAGGGTTAGTAGCACGGCTGTCACCTTTGACCCCAGGCCGTTGATAATGCTTAGATATGGGCAGGGCCATTTCTTCTGTTTGAGAACAAGGCTAAGAAATTCCTGACGAGATGAATGAAGGCATTGTCTCATATACGCTGGAGACCCACGGAGATTTTTGGGTAGAGAAGGTTCAAGACGGTCACAGAGCTCCATAGGACGACGAGATAAAGACTTCTGGCAATGGAGGTCCAGCTTCTTGAGCAGCCAAATGGAGAGAGCATCAGAAACGTAGCTAGAGAAAATGTGACGAGCTGTGACCTTTGACCTGATCAGTATGACCTGCAAATACATGTCTTAGTGTTGGTCGTTGATGTTCTTTGTAAACAGCATTAATATCTTTGTAAACATGCATTAAATAATAGCTATAGGCTACCAAACGGAATAATTTTATAAACAACCAATTCATGTGTGATTTAAACATGTCTAATATTATAATTGAACTCGTCGGTTACCTTGGATGCGTTTCCTGACAAAATCAACTGCTTTAAAACTTGCCAGACGGTGTAGACAAGCTTGGGACTGCACGCTACGAACTTCATGCCTGTGGACATGGGAGAAATTGTGGTCGAGATACACAACCATAAATACTTGTATGTACCAATATAGTTTCATACAAACGTGTATGTACAAACACAGAAACATTTTCAACACAACTTCCACTCACCTGAGCTGTCTCTCAAAAAGAGCCACGTTGTCGTGCCATTATCCAGTATGACGTCTGCGCTACCTGTCAGGTGAGTCAGGTGGGCTACCGTGTCCTGGCTAGAGTCCTCATGGATAGAAGCTTTGGCGGAGTTGGGATACATCGCTAGGGTGGCTGATATCAAATCCTTTCAAACAATGAAGCAGGGGAGATAATGATAATACATAAATTTTTAATTTTTTAATAACATGAGTTTTGTATCTGATAGAAGGGTATAATTTTACCTGTAAGTAAAAAAAAAATTATTTCAAATTTTGAGTAATTTCCGTGTACCCGAAGTAGTTCTTCGTGCTATTTCCGATTTCTCCAAAAAAAATGCATATGAATTTATAAAGTACTAATATTCGGCATTATTATTTACACATAATTTTCTGTTTACTTGATGCGCAATTCTTTGTTCTAGTACATTATATTCTATTTAAAAAAAAAAACTTAAACTAATTAAAAATTGATTACAAATCATGTCTATATCCCGAGTTGCCATCTCCCGAAGCTTTATATAAGTTTTGATCACTACAGCTTGATTGAAATTGATAATATAATGCAGGATCAATTTTAATATTTACGCAAATGTATTATTGTATATTAAGTACATACTGAATTTATTGTAACGACATTATTTTATAACAACCTTAGAGGCTAAATGTACATCTTCACGTGTTGTTATTTAACCACTTACTTCTGAGTACATAATATACTTACTTATTTGTTGTAAACTGTAGAACAGATGGAACACGTCCAGAGGTGAATTTTTTTCCCTGTTTCGACAATTGTGCCAAACAGTGCACCTCTTGTAAAGGTAGTCTTCTCCGTACAGTGCGCACTGCAGTGTTTTGTACTCACATCATTAGTTTCAGGTCAGTACACACCAACACACCACAAAAACACATCACAGAACCTCATCAACGTCACACCAACACCACATCAAAACCACACCAACCATAGTGCTGACCACATTATTCCTTCATATGCCGAGGTAACAGAAACAGGTGAACTCTACTTCACTTGCCATATGGACCATCTGGTTCATAAGAAAACTTGTATTAAAGTGAAAAGTGTGTCATCACACTTTTGAGCTCCCCCCACCTCGCCCCTTTCCAAACATCATCACAAAAATGTTGAGATACCCAACCCTGTTAATGTTGGTCATCCATAACACCTAAGTCAGTAGTTTAGGTCATTAGGTTGGTCATCCATGAGACCTAAGTCAGTAGTTTAGGTCATTAGGTTGGTCATCCATGACACCTAAGTCAGTAGTTTAAGTCATTAGGTTGGTCATGACACCTAAGTCAGTAGTTTAGGTCATTAGGTTGGTCATCCATGACACCTAAGTCAGTAGTTTAGGTCATTAGGTTGGTCATCCATGACACCTAAGTCAGTAGTTTAAGTCATTAGGTTGGTCATCCATGAGACCTAAGTCAGTAGTTTAGGTCATTAGGTTGGTCATCCATGACACCTAAGTCAGTAGTTTAGGTCATTAGGTTGGTCATCCATGACACCTAAGTCAGTAGTTTAGGTCATTAGGTTGGTCATCCATGACACCTAAGTCAGTAGTTTAGGTCATTAGGTTGGTCATGACACCTAAGTCAGTAGTTTAGGTCATTAGGTTGGTCATCCATGACACCTAAGTCAGTAGTTTAGGTCATTAGGTTGGTCATCCATGACACCTAAGTCAGTAGTTTAAGTCATTAGGTTGGTCATCCATGACACCTAAGTCAGTAGTTTAGGTCATTAGGTTGGTCATCCATGACACCTAAGTCAGTAGTTTAGGTCATTAGGTTGGTCATCCATGACACCTAAGTCAGTAGTTTAGGTCATTAGGTTGGTCATCCATGACACCTGAGTCAGTAGTTTAAGTCATTAGGTTGGTCATCCATGACACCTAAGTCAGTAGTTTAAGTCATTAGGTTGGTCATCCATGACACCTAAGTCAGTAGTTTAGGTCATTAGGTTGGTCATCCATGACACCTAAGTCAGTAGTTTAAGTCATTAGGTTGGTCATCCATGACACCTAAGTCAGTAGTTTAGGTCATTAGGTTGGTCATCCATGACACCTAAGTCAGTAGTTTAGGTCATTAGGTTGGTCAGCCGTGACACCTAAGTCAGTAGTTTAGGTCATTAGGTTGGTCATCCATGACACCTAAGTCATTAGGTTGGTCATCCATGACACCTAAGTCAGTAGTTTAGGTCATTAGGTTGGTCATCCATGACACCTAAGTCAGCAGTTTAGGCCATTAGGTTGGTCATGAGACCTAAGTCAGTAGTTTAGGTCATTAGGTTGGTCATCCATGACACCTTAGTCAGTAGTTTAGGTCATTAGGTTGGTCATCCATGAGACCTAAGTCAGTAGTTTAGGTCATTAGGTTGGTCATCCATGACACCTATGACAGTAGTTTAGGTCATTAGGTTGGTCATCCATGACACCTGAGTCAGTAGTTTAGGTCATTAGGTTGGTCATCCATGACACCTAAGTCAGTAGTTTAGGTCATTAGGTTGGTCATCCATGACACCTAAGTCAGTAGTTTAGGTCATTAGGTTGGTCATCCATGAAACCTAAGTCAGTAGTTTAGGTCATTAGGTTGGTCATCCATGACACCTAAGTCAGTAGTTTAGGTCATTAGGTTGGTCAGCCGTGACACCTAAGTCAGTAGTTTAGGTCATTAGGTTGGTCATCCATGACACCTAAGTCAGTAGTTTAGGCCATTAGGTTGGTCATGAGACCTAAGTCAGTAGTTTAGGTCATTAGGTTGGTCATCCATGACACCTTAGTCAGTAGTTTAGGTCATTAGGTTGGTCATCCATGAGACCTAAGTCAGTAGTTTAGGTCATTAGGTTGGTCATCCATGACACCTATGACAGTAGTTTAGGTCATTAGGTTGGTCATCCATGACACCTAAGTCAGTAGTTTAGGTCATTAGGTTGGTCATGAGACCTAAGTCAGTAGTTTAGGTCATTAGGTTGGTCATCCATGACACCTGAGTCAGTAGTTTAGGTCATTAGATTGGTCATCCATGACACCTAAGTCAGTAGTTTAGGTCATTAGGTTGGTCATCCATGACACCTGAGTCAGTAGTTTAGGTCATTAGATTGGTCATCCATGACACCTAAGTCAGTAGTTTAGGTCATTAGGTTGGTCATCCATGACACCTAAGTCAGTAGTTTAGGTCATTAGGTTGGTCAGCCATGACACCTGAGTCAGTAGTTTAGGCCATTAGGTTGGTCATGAGACCTAAGTCAGTATATTAGGTCATTAGGTTGGTCATCCATGAGACCTATGTCAGTAGTTTAGGTCATTAGGTTGGTCATCCATGACACCTAAGTCAGTAGTTTAGGTCATTAGGTTGGTCATCCATGACACCTAAGTCAGTAGTTTAGGTCATTAGGTTGGTCATCCATGACACCTAAGTCAGTAGTTTAGGTCATTAGGTTGGTCATGACACCTAAGTCAGTAGTTTAGGTCATTAGGTTGGTCATCCATGACACCTAAGTCAGTAGTTTAGGTCATTAGGTTGGTCATGACACCTAAGTCAGTAGTTTAGGTCATTAGGTTGGTCAGCCATGACACCTAAGTCAGTAGTTTAGGTCATTAGGTTGGTCATCCATGACACCTAAGTCAGTAGTTTAGGTCATTAGGTTGGTCATCCATGACACCTAAGTCAGTAGTTTAGGTCATTAGGTTGGTCATCCATGACACCTGAGTCAGTAGTTTAGGTCATTAGGTTGGTCACCGATGACACCTAAGTTAGTAGTTTAGGTCATTAGGTTGGTCATCCATGACACCTGAGTCAGTAGTTTAGGTCATTAGGTTGGTCATCCATGACACCTAAGTCAGTAGTTTAGGTCATTAGGTTGGTCATGACACCTAAGTCAGTAGTTTAGGTCATTAGGTTGGTCAGCCATGACACCTAAGGCAGTAGTTTAGGTCATTAGGTTGGTCATCCATGACACCTAAGTCAGTAGTTTAGGTCATTAGGTTGGTCATCCATGACACTTAAGTCAGTAGTTTAGGTCATTAGGTTGGTCATCCATGACACCTAAGTCAGTAGTTTAGGTCATTAGGTTGGTCATGACACCTAAGTCAGTAGTTTAGGTCATTAGGTTGGTCAGCCATGACACCTAAGTCAGTAGTTTAGGTCATTAGGTTGGTCATCCATGACACCTAAGTCAGTAGTTTAGGTCATTAGGTTGGTCATCCATGACACCTAAGTCAGTAGTTTAGGTCATTAGGTTGGTCATCCATGACACCTAAGTCAGTAGTTTAGGTCATTAGGTTGGTCATCCATGACACCTAAGTCAGTAGTTTAGGTCATTAGGTTGGTCATCCATGACACCTAAGTCAGTAGTTTAGGTCATTAGGTTGGTCATCCATGACACTTAAGTCAGTAGTTTAGGTCATTAGGTTGGTCATCCATGACACTTAAGTCAGTAGTTTAGGTCATTAGGTTGGTCATCCATGACACTTAAGTCAGTAGTTTAGGTCATTAGGTTGGTCATCCATGACACCTAAGTCAGTAGTTTAGGTCATTAGGTTGGTCATCCATGACACCTAAGTCAGTAGTTTAGGTTATTAGGTTGGTCATCCATGACACCTAAGTCAGTAGTTTAGGTCATTAGGTTGGTCAACCATGACACCTGAGTCAGTAGTTTAGGTCATTAGGTTGGTCATGACACCTAAGTCAGTAGTTTAGGTCATTAGGTTGGTCAACCATGACACCTGAGTCAGTAGTTTAGGTCAATAGGTTGGTCATGACACCTAAGTCAGTAGTTTAGGTCATTAGGTTGGTCATCCATGACACCTAAGTCAGTAGTTTAGGTCATTAGGTTGGTCATGACACCTAAGTCAGTAGTTTAGGTCATTAGGTTGGTCATGACACCTAAGTCAGTAGTTTAGGTCATTAGGTTGGTCAACCATGAGACCTAAGTCAGTAGTTTAGGTCATTAGGTTGGTAATCCATGACACCTAAGTCAGTAGTTTAGGTCATTAGATTGGTCAACCATGACACATATGACAGTAGTTTAGGTCATTAGGTTGGTCATGACACCTAAGTCAGTAGTTTAGGTCATTAGATTGGTCATCCATGACACCTAAGTCAGTAGTTTAGGTCATTAGGTTGGTGATCCATGACACCTAAGTTAGTAGTTTAGGTCATTAGGTTGGTCATGACACCTAAGTCAGTAGTTTAGGTTATTAGGTTGGTCATCCATGACACCTAAGTCAGTAGTTTAGGTCATTAGGTTGGTCATCCATGACACCTGAGTCAGTAGTTTAGGTCATTAGGTTGGTCATCCATGAGACCTAAGTCAGTAGTTTAGGTCATTAGGTTGGTCATCCATGACACCTAAGTCAGTAGTTTAGGTCATTAGGTTGGTCATGACCCCTAAGTCAGTAGTTTAGGTCATTAGGTTGGTAATCCATTTAATACAGCGCTTTTAAATGGTCTAAATGTTCGTTTTAAAATACGCCTTGCACTAGGGACCTTGCACTAGGAACCTTGCATTAGGGACCTTTATTCTAAAGACACGATGACACGCTCTTGTTTATTCTTTTTCCGTTTGTTTTTAAACCACTGTGAAAGACGATTCCTCTTTCTCCTAAAAGCAAACACCAGCTGTTGTCGGCAAAGTTCTTTTGAAAACAAAATCTAAGTCCGTTTCGCGAGAGACCGCTGGATATTAAAACGACGTTTGCTTCTTTATACATTGTGATTTTACAATGTAAATTTTTTTTTTTATTGGTACAACTACTATT